TCCTAAATCCCACACGAAAGATATAAACCGTGGTTCATCTTATACTGGTCCATCCCAAAGTTTGTCCGTCATCAGGATTTCTATATATCGATGCTAACTTACAATAGTGCCACTTCGTACCTTGTCAAAAGGAAATCAACATAGCAATGATGAAGACGCATATCAAGACTTGCAAGCCTACGCCGACTATCAAAATACCCTTTCAGATCGTATAAGTGCGGACATAGGAAGAGATGAGAATTACAGAAAATATTTGACCGCGAATCCTCGAGCACAACCAATGAGGAATGCATACGAAAGAGACGTTTCATTTTACTCCCATGAGCTGCCAGAACAAAGAATTCAGCCAGCTCGAGGGCTCTCTTGTCCAGTAATACTTCCACAACGGAGGCCAGAAGCCCAAAGTCGTGGTATCATTCGCGCGTACTCCTTAGAGCTAGCAGGTTGCGGCATAGATCAAGATACGTTTCTGGATTTTATTGATGATTTTAATGAAGCTCATAAAGTAAATTGAAACTTCCGAGTCTCTTTCATTGAAACTTACTTATGTGCAGGCATCTCCTTATCTCGACGCTGTTAATGTGGCCGCCCAAGGTGTCGGATTTGCACCCGGTATTTCGCCGATGATTGTGTCTATGGTTGTTCCAATTGCAGTACGAGCCGCTAAAGGTTATCAGACACAAAGACAGTAAGCAGGCAGTCAAACTACTTGGTGATGATAACAGCCAGTTGATACTCTCCTTAGATCATCCTCTTTCTTAGACCGAGCCAATGCAAATCTTTTCGTACCGCATGGCCTCTTTGCAATGGTCTTAACTTTTCGGCCTGATCAAACTCAAAACCTAAATGAAGTGCCAGGAGAAGTTCAACTTCCTCTGTCTGCTTCCCTTATTTATCCCGAAGACGAGAGACGTGCTCAGCAAACTGGTCTAAAGAAAATGGGCCATTTTATTGCGGATTATGGAGATCGTAGAGCCCAAGCTCGATACGTATGTGCGGTTCATATTTTTGATAGATAGAGACCTACTGACAAGCAAAAAGGCGCACAACAACCCCGAGTCATCTTTGACTAGTCCTTTGCCAACATTTAATAGTCGTTGGGCTGACCCAAATCATCCTGCCAATAGTGGTGGACTGAAAAGTCTACTGACTGGCGTCCCAGACGATAGGAAATCCCGCAGAGAAGACAAAAAAGATCGAAAAAGAGACAGAAGAGATCGTCGTCGAAGAGATAGCTCAAGTAGTGATACATCAAGAAGAGGTGGACTTTTAAGCACCGCGCTTGGGGCAGTTGGTGATGCCAGTGGGAGGAACGGTTCTTCTAGTAGAGGAAGGACAAGTTTGGTAGGAACCGCGAGAGGGATGATAAATGGACCTGGAAAACAAGATCAAAGTTTAATCAAGGGAATCAGAGGCATAGGGATGAAGACTGATATCCTATATCTGATGATCACAAATAACCCCGAAGATCAGAGATCCTTCCCTTCGTCGAGATCACAGACGCCACTGACTCACGTTTCGTCATTTTCACCACTGCAGTCTCAAACCACAAACTCAAACAATCGGCTGAAATCGTCCAAGAATGATCAAGACCCCATCTATTCCATTTCAAATCAAGATCGAATGGCTCCTTATACCAACCAAAACCAAAATAATAATCCCTATATTGCCAGGCAAGATCAAGTCGCCACGGGGTCTACCACTAGACATTTTGAACAAAACGACGCTCCACCGCCTGCATACAGAGAAGCAATGCCGGCAAGGTATTACGATCAGATGAGACAGCACGACGAGGAATTTTGCGCACCTACCATATAGTGCCTCTGATTTCATCTCAATTTTGATTTTGGATGTTTCATTTGGCTTGGAGTTTGTGGGAGTGTGATTGCATTCAGCATCACTGGATGCTCACGTTTTGACTTTGTACATTTTTGATTTGCCATAGCCTTCCATATATGGTAGTCCGGCTCAATGATCAGAAGCAAAATGTTTCAAGCGAGGTGTCCAGTAGTCCGCAGTTGATAAATTGGATGTACATAAAATCAGAGGGAAACTCGAGGAGGGTTCGAAATTTCTAACCATTTCGATTTTTTAACTGAGGACATAATCTGTATGCGAACTTCTGATGATCGTACTATAGTCCAACTAAAATCCAGGTCCAAAGAAGACGAGTCTTCTATCAAAGGCAGAGTCGTGGAGACTGAGTAACACTTCGTAGGAACAGGTCACGGTAAGGTAGAAGAAATACTCGATACTACAAACTCAGAAGTTAGTGGTACTTAAAAATGGGTTTATGTGGTAAAGGTCGTTTTTAAGTGAATTGCTTTGTGATTCATATAGAAAGTTGAAAATAGCTATCTCGGGACAGATAACTGTCGCGCATCTACTGCAGAGCCTTAATGACTTGAAAACTAGCAACGTTGAACATCGTGTAGATGGATCATGGAAGAATGGAATTGGCGTGGTTATCTTCCGCGAGAGATCCTATACAAAACTTGAACGGGGAAAGATCAGGGATAATTCGTGAATGGTTATTCAGTAAATAACAAGAAGAAAAGATGCGTGTATGAAAGTTTGCTGTCAATGGTTGTGGACTTCTACTACTAAAATCGAATGTATGAAAATGATACGCCCCTTCCGATTCTGGCGGTTGCTTCATGGATTCAAGACCTCATCAAAATTGTCACAAAAATTGTTGGTATGGTCCAAATCAAGATCTCGCGGTACAAGAGGATGAAAAAGACTGTTTAGGACTTAGACTCCGCAATCTCTAGGATATCCTTCTCAAGGTCAAGCTCTTTCCATGGGCCCAACCCTAGCTTCTTATCGTTCTCCGTCACTCGAACAGCACCACCCACCATGTAATGCGGACCTAACGCAGCTACTTCCATACGTACGTTTGTAACTTCGCGGCCCTTGAATATAATACGATAATTGTCAATTGTTTCCCCCCATTCGAGGGAATTCAGATCATGTACCTCAGACGCAATTGGACTTCGAGCATCGCAAATCTCCAAGTCTTTCAGCCATGGCGCAAGCAAAGCTTCTCCAGTCATTTTGACATAGGTCTCTCGCAAACACCACATGGCATAGAACCGTCTAATCTTCGCATCGATGACCTTGTTACTGTCAATCTTCAGTTGTTCAGCCTTTCCCTCACTATCCTCAATGATCAGATCCAATTGTCTGTTTCTCCATTGACATCTAGAAAGTGCGTCGTTGCCATACCCATGAAGCTTCTTACCCGGCGCAACCTCGTCGAGTCCAAGTGATGAAAGCTTCATATGATTAACCTCCGAATCTGCGAACACTTCTCCGTGCATATCAATCCAATCAAAGAACCCACTCTTCTCTATATATTTATAATCATGCGACAGTCGTTCGTTGGCGCACACGATGTCCGTTCCCACATTGATTGTTCCATCGCCCCCAATCACAGCTATTAATGTTACAAGTCCGGCCTGATGACTTACATTGAATTCGATTCGAGGTTGATCTGCAGCCGAATTATAACAAGGCTTTCCATTTGATTCGCGCGAAATTGTAGTCTTCGACCAAGGTACATTGCAATATTTTGCAATAACTAGGTGCTTGAGGAGGTGGGATGCTAAGCTCATTTTTGCATCTTTGACGTGATAATATTTAAGGACTGATTCTTGCTCGGATTCAGAGAGGAAAGCCAGAGCACGAGAAGCCTAACATCATCTGTCAATTCAGACATGTAGAGCAACTAGTAGATGTTATACACACAGCAGTCCTCAGTTCTGCGACCTCCTCTCTGGACTGATCTTTGCGGTGAACAGGCCACAATAGTCTTGTATCGAGCAGCCATTGTACAATGTATGGCTCTGAGTCCGGGGATGTCATTGCACTGAAATTTCGAGGCGTGCCGCAGAAACAATCTTGAAGGATTGAAGCCGGTTGGATAATTATGGACGATTGACAGATCATTTTGTCCATCACTTGGATAAGAAATTGATTATGTAAGCGAAATGACGAAACTTGGTGAACCTGGTGAACACACTTTTATCCTCGCAACCAAAGTTCTTCGTATATTCTTACACCACATTATATTTCCGCGCCGTCTATGTATATGTAGATGAATGCTCTCTATTTGATATTCATCTATTGTTATATTCTATCAATCTTCACATATCTCGCGAAGTCGATCGCACCTTCCTCAATATTGCGACGCATAAGTGTGTGTGGCCAGTGAATTCATTAGTGGAAGATCATATCTGACCCAACCTTATGATGCCAAGATAGCATTGGAACATACAACAGTTGTAGATGTTACCAGGCCACGAATATCCACTGGTTCGAATATCTAGCCAATTCTTTCCTATCAAAAGCATCCAGAAACCGGGCCAATTTCAAGTCTGTATCTTAACCTTTGTAGATTAGGTCCAAATCTTCATGCTGAGGTTACAAGATCTTTTTAAAACCGCTTCAAACCAGTTAGGTCGTTGCTGGTAGGTATCGACCAACTCAGTAACCATAGTAACTTGTTTTTATCTCTGATTGATTGTTTGCACCTCTACATTCTGGGATGCATGATCTTTCGCTCTAGAACGGCGATCGAAAAAGTCCCCGTACTCAGATCAGATGGAGAGCCGCTATGCTTGCAGAATGTTTCGATTGCTGTAGCAGGGCCGGGTCTATTAATTTTTAAAAATCTTCGCGCCTTCATTCTTTCATGCATGCTCTTCATGTTCTTTGATGCCAGACTGTTGTATTGTTTGGTACTGCCTACAATACTACGTGAAAACTCAATCACGCGCATTGTATTTGTAGGACCTGGTGTCGTGTCTTCGACGCCTAGACAGTTGATTATTGCGATACCACTACACGCGCAAGGGAGAATCCGGACTTGGCTGCTTGGAAATGGCTACATGGAGAAGCAGCGATTGAACTAGTGCAAGACGAAGAGGGAAAAGGGAAATTTGCAGACAATGACATGTTTTTAGCATTTTTCAAACATATTCTATGTCAGAAACCTGGATATATCATCGATATGCCATATCTTGTAATTCGTTTTTAATGATGCTCACAGAAGTGAGAATTTACTCAACACATTTCTCTAATCGTCCTCCTGGCGAGACCATAAAAATGGTTCCGGCGACTGGTAGCTTTGGTGGGAGTGTTGTGACGGCAGTATTAGTGATGTGCACTGAGTTGTTGCTGGTGATAGAAGTGAAGACATTCTCACAGCCCCCAGGGAGGTCTATGGCAATACCAAAAGACTCGAACAAATCGTCTCAATTGGTGAGTAAAAAAACATACACAGCGAATTTTCTATAGTTCCAGGTAACGGTAATAGCGCCAACTGAATTATCGATTTTCGCCGAACGCAGTTACCAGATTGACTCCTATTATAGCGTGGATGACCGCACTGAAACCTTATGACAAAGTGACATCTTTGGGTGGTATATTTGGCAACATCAAAGTCAGTTACGTTTCACTCGTGATAAGAATTCTGCGAACTTAGGGGATTATGTATGACTGAGAATATAAGTGGTAAGATTCGTCGAAATGATTGAAATGGGGAATCTCAAAATGGATTATGGTGCAGGTATAAAAACAATTGGCAAATATGGATTGGATGGAATTAACGAAGCAATGAAGATAGCCAAGAACAAGACAGGATGCGGAAAACAAGTACTTTAAATTCCTTGAAACGACTCGCCACAACAATAACGGTGTGTTTCATCTACATGTCACGATAACGATAAACAGACCCAAAAAGCACAAGAATCAAAACGGACAAGGTAGAACTCTTATATTTTTGGAAATTCCAGGATCATTTACCCAATTGAGATTGTTCTACCACCAAAAGCTCCGCGAAGAACGTGTATGCAAGTATTTATGCAGCTTACTCCATACGGCATGCTTACATTTTCAGCCCCCAAACAAAAATTTACACGCGAGGCTGAGGCACAATTCGTAAAACCAGAAGTTTTCAAGGATAAAAAACTTTCATTGAGGTTGCGGTGTTCTATGATAGGAAATAGACCATGTGCCAGACAAGGTAGTTATGGTTACGTTAGGCAAGCCATATTCCAGAAGCCTTCTATATGCCACAGCTGCTGCAGACGTATTCAGTCACATCCATGGATTACCTCGTTGTCGTCATGAAAGTCAGATGGTACCTTGTTCCTGCATTGGATGTTACAATGACGAGAGAACAAGAAATCTTTCCACATGGCTTTCACATAGGTAAATGTAACCCAAGATATAAAACATCAATTGTGGGGGCCTACAATGGCTGTCTGTACACCAGATTCCACCAAATGTTCTCATATATGATTTCTTCTATGCACAGAAGCTTCCGACCTGTGCGTGGACAATTTGAAATATCATACCAATTTCCATCGCGTCTTGAATCCCCCTGCAATTCTCGCTTCCCTCGGATTTCCACTGAGTGGTACGGTGATGATATTTAGTGAATAGTGGTTTGTGTTGTTCTCATTGTATTCTATTGGAGTCTGCTGCTAACAGCTGATGTGATAGTTGATGCTATGGCTGCTTCCAGTAGATCATCATCGTATTACGATGACATGAGCAACGAGTTCTATTCTTCGGGTTTTGATGACTATCAGAATGATGTCAACGAGTCTCTAGACTTTAATCGTGTCTCATCTACGAACTTCTACCTCGGTCCTGAAATGTTCCTGATTCCTCAAATGTTTGATGAACAACTCTATCCATCTCAGCATGAATTCGCCGTTATCACATCGACTTATGAATCATTTCAACGTTTCTCACCTAGTTCTGGGTCCACCAGTACTAAGGCCGACGGCGAAGAGCAGTTTTTGCCCAGATCACTCAGTGGAATTTGCGGACAATTGACCACAGAGTATCGTGAAAACTCAAAAGATCCGCCGAATCCATACGCAATCGAAGAGATGTATCGTGAGAATGATAACAATATAAATTTAGAGCTTTCCCGCAAGAAACGGAGACCTTCTCAAGACAAAAAGACACGAATACCAAATATCCCTCATTCAAATGTATTTAAGCTAGGTTTAAGGATGCCATCAATTTCTAGGGAGGGATCGCAACCCACAGCATCACAAGAATCTTTGAGCTCAGTTTTCGAAGTCAATATGAATCAGCCAACGAAGCGCAAAGCTCGGAGTGCCTTTACACCACAAGAAAAGAAAAAAGTGGAAGCGGTGAGGAGCGTTGGTGCTTGTATTCAGTGCAAATTCAGAAAACGAACTGTAAGTTGGTCTGAGCCCTGTGTTGAGCCTTTCGACTGACAAGCGTAGTGTGGGACTAATGAGCCTTGTCTGTTATGCATTCGACGTGCTGGCAGTGCGGAGTTTGCGGCATCTTTATGTACAAGAGAATCGCCGTTTGTCGAGCTATCAATAAGTGAATGTGATTATTCTACTTTCATGAGGAGCCCAGGATATTGACCTCAAAGTCTACTCTAGCAAATTACTCCCACTTATAACCGATTTCGATGTTGAGTTTTCAAATTTAGAAGGTCAACGGAAGACTATCAAGATTGACGGAAAGGGCCCTGCCTCTTCCCCCCTACATTTTGAAGTCAATGAGATACAATCATCGTTGTTGACCGATAATTTGCTTAAAGAAGTTCGTCGAATAAGTAGACTCAGCTCTAGGTTCTCACGCCCGCTCAATCCCAGTCCAGATCAGTCAAAGTTTGTGATTGTTCTTGATCCGAGACTCTTCTCATCTCAAAGGCTTGAAGAATGGGTTATGAGGTACACTGACGGGAATAAAATTGACAACGTAAATTCCACCTCTTTTCTGTTCGGGGTTGAATATGCCAAAGAAAAGCTGCCATATGTAAGTTTGATAATTCAATTCAACACATCTGTTCATTCCACATTTCACTAAAAAAGAGAAGGCAGATCTAGTAGAGAATACAACAAAGCTCATAGCATTCAGCTATATTCTCTGCAAAGGATTGAGAATCACAACGCCTGCAGGCCAGCAAGATATAGCTGCTCAACACCCTGTACTACGCGCACAGCTCGAGACAAAACTCTTTCATCTTCTCCGCCATACCGAAAAGCTTGTTTATGATGAGCTTCAACGTCTAGTCTTCAAAACCTCTGGACAGTTACCGAAGGACGCGGTTGTTCCTGTGGCACTAGTAATTTGGTTGCTCACCAGATTACAAAGTTTGAAAGCGAGCCATGTCATCAATTTGAGTGAAGGGAACAGTTCTCGTGCGTATTCTTTTATGATATGAGTTCCCAATACATTGTGCGTATAGATGTACTGACGGTTCATAGCATCCACGGGAACGTCATCAACAGCTGCATCTCATCATAAGCATGTTCTTAACCTCCTCATAAGCGTTTTCACCGCCCTACTTAGATCATCGTTCCCATTACTCATAAACTTTGAAGACAAATGCAACAGAGACTTACTAGGGGGAAACGAGGATTTGATACAACTATCCAAGAAACTGAGGAGAGATCTGATAGCGTTCAAGAGAAGCAGCCATCTCAAAGCCTCGACCTGGAACCAGGAGTTCTTGAAAGAGCAAGTGGATAGATTGAAAGATATGTTGACGGAGTAGATTTCCGGGGACATGGGGAATAGATCCAGAAAGGGCTTGTTAAGCAATGTAAGAAATTTAGGGGATTGGGTTATTTTTGGGAGAAGGGGGGGGGGGGGTGTTTTCTTTCTGCTTACCGAATAAGATTTTTACAAGGTAATGAATGATTGACACCAAAAAGGATATGACGATGACGCTACGACTGTACAAGTATTAGGGATATACGGCGCATTTTAGAATTACGTGAGATACTTGGGATGATTTAGTACAATGAGATTTGCTTTTCAGGCAACACCGGTCAAGGATTGATGATTGATGCAGCCACATTCCGAATCAAGAATCATCTAGCCTACCCTTTTTGTCCCTCGCATTATACGTCTATTTGACGTTGTAATCTGAAATTTCGGAGTGCACTTAGGCTTACCAGCATCCTGAAGCAAAGCGGGGCATTGATCGGGTAGTGAATCTCTTCCGAAAAGTAGCTTATCCGGCCTACAACGGACGATGCTTCCCGAGTTAAAGAGGGTATCCGTCATAGAACGGCAGCGTTTCTTACGATCATATGTTTGGTCACACAGTATTGACATTGACGATTGGTGAAGAAAGATAAATCGTTTTATCAAAAAGCACAATGTGTTATTTTGAGATTTTGAGATTTACAAGGTTTATAAGGTTGATAATTCACGGGTCATCACGACAGACATGCCGAGGTTGAAAAACAAGTCTCATACTGAATATTGGCACTCCTTTGTTTCAAAAAACTATGTTCATCTTCTCCATTACACAATATATATCACTCGGTGCTACTGATAAGTGCATAATAAAATGTCTATTCTATTCACAACTGTGAAAGGCCCCTCATCACCATCTGAAGACAGTGCACATGGGCCAATTGGCTGTCCAACTCCATATGCCGAGCCACTGTGGTATTCCCGAAACGTGTCACCCCATTACACTACTTTACATCGCAAACTTCGCGCCGCGGTGCGCAAATACGTCGATGAAGAAATCTTGTTATATGCCTTCGATTGGGAATCGGCAGGCAAAGTACCAGACTCGGCACGTGCCGCCCCCGTGACTTCACGACTCCACTAACGAATCCAGCAGGCATGGCGACGACATGCGGAATTGGGATATCTAGCCTTAAGCACAGGACTTTCGGATGTTAAACTACCGGGAGATATTAAACCTGAAGAGTGGGACTCGTGGCACACTTTGATCGTTACGGATGAGTTGTCGCGTGTCGTAAGATCGCGCGCTGGTTTCTGATATGTCTTTCATACTGACGCGATCCAGGCATATACGGGCGTACTTTGGGGTCTTGGTGGAGGCAATTGAATTGGAGTACCCCCAATAGTCAATTTTGGGACGGAAGAGCAAAAAGCGAAATTTTTACCTGGTGTTGCGAACGGTAGCATAAGATTTTGTCTTGGCATCACGGAACCTGATGCTGGCTCCGATGTAGCAAATATCAAAACTACTGCTGTAAGTAGCGGGGGCCATTATGTCGTTAATGGGTCAAAGAAATGGATCACAAACGCTATTTGGGCGGATTATGTCACCGCGGCTGTTCGTACTGGAGGCGTGGGAGCGAGTGGTATATCGCTCCTTATCATCCCGTTGAAAGCTGACGGAGTCTCTCGGAGGACGATGCATAATTCGGGCGTTGGAGCATCTGGCAGCACATTTCTTACTTTTGATGATGATGTTAAAGTTCCTATTGAGAACCTTTTACACAAAGAAGGTCGCGGATTTGAAGTCATCATGTCCAATTTCAATGCTGAGCGCAAAAGTATTGCCTCATCGGCCATTCGATTGAGTAGAGTATGTGCTGAAGATGCATGGAAACATGCTTGTACTCGTGAGACATTTGGAAAGAAATTGATTGAGAATCCGGTGATTCGAGCGAAATTTGTGAAGATGGGAAGGATGATCGAACCTGCGCAAGCATTCCTAGAACAATTGACTTGGTTGATTGAATTGGGTAGGGAAGATGGCGGAGAGAATGATATGAGGATTGGAGGTATGACGGCTATGTTGAAAGTTGTAAGTACGAGGTGCCTCGAGAAATGTGTAAGGGAAGCTCAACAAATCATGGGTGGATTGGGCTATGCTCGAGGTGGGAAAGGTGGACGGTAGGTTAGCTGAAATCTGCAAGGGTAACAACCTACTGATGGTGTGTATAGGATCGAGGCTATCTCAAGGGATGTTAGGGTTATGACTGTTGGTAAGTACTGATGTCTGGCCAGAACGACAAATTTATTATTTCTTTCCGAGTAGTATCATGCTAATACTAGTAGGAGGTGGGAGTGAGGAGATTATGAGCGAGCTTGCGATCAAAGAAGAAGTTAAAGATCTGAAGAGATACTCAAGCACTTTCAGCAAACTTTGAACCCTTCTCAAGATCATAAAAAGAAAGAATACACATTTGACTTGACTACACTACACTGTCTCTTGCTCAGATAACCCCGAGTGAAAGAGCATTAGCTATCAACATACTATCTGGCATTTAAAACGAATATGTTCCATCCATTTCGGTCTTAGTCAACACATAATCGAATATATGTATATTAGTGAACCGATTGTGTTGGATTTCGCGTTGCAATAGGCCTAGATTCTCAAGCAATGTCGATTTTTTTCCAATTTTCGCTTAGACCCTTTGCGATAGTCTGACGAGAGGCGTTCCTGAAGTCTGATAGTCTAGAGCTACAGAAAGCTCAAAGTCTCAGATCAGGTTGAGTTGACTTGCATTAGTATTGCATAAAAGCTCTTACCAAAATACATGTAAACACTTATGTAGCGGTGATCTTTATCTCACTAGTATGTCGAGCACAATCGCTTGCGAAAACCCTGATTAGCCTCGGTTTCATATTCAAGTAAGTCGAAGAAAAGATAGCCACGAAGTGTGTCATATTTGGAGCTATTGTTGCAAGATAGTTTACCACAAGCTATGGTGGGGGCGATTAAAAGTTGCGGGGGAGAAGTTATTGAGCGCGCTGTGTTTTTTCAGTAGATGCGGAGGACATGCTTCACATGCATCTTGAATACTTTTGGCGAGTATATTATTGATCAGTGAAAAGTGGAAACTTTTCAAAGCCTCCTACTCTCGCAAACAGAAGCGCATTTCACCGTCGATTAAGATTCAATAAAAATTGATGAACATAATTGGCCTTTGAGACTCTTCCAATCCTTTTACAAAACCCTTCATAAACACCAAAAGCTTACAGGAACTTAAGGACCTGACACACATCAGACTATTGCCCTTAAATTTTGAGAATTACAACCCGTCCTTAAAATCAACCGCTCTAATCACAAACTGGTATCTTTCCCATACCAAACTAATGTTAATGTAAAGCAGATATTCGACTGCTCGTCTAGACATGCTGCTTACTGCTAGTCGCACTCATGCCATCCTCATAAGTAACCGTAACCTCCCGGTGGCGCTGAATTCCACCATCTTTCACTTCATCTGCTGTTGGTGGTGCGAGAATACATGTATCGCTATCAGTATCATTATCCACGCCTCCTCGAGTTACTTCGACGTCGTAATGCGTTGCCTCCTTGTTGCCTCTTTTCAAAGATTTGAGATTATATTCGCCAGCGCCAGCGCCAGAATCCTGGTTGTCGTAGTCGTAGTTTTGATAAGGTCCGCCTGCCGAACTTGCTCCCGTCATCCGGTTATAGAGGGGTCGAAGGGCAGGAATGGTGACGCAGATAACAGTGGCACAAAGCTCGGACATGGTCCACATGACGGAATCACTAACAGCATCTGGAGAGGTAATTAGCATCCATAGATAGGATACATCTAGGTGATAATGTGGAAGAAGATACTTACACAGATAGTCATCAGTCTCCATAAGAGCATCCAAGGTTGTAGTGCGAACCACACCGCATACACCAGCACTAGTTTAAAGGTTAGTTCAAATGTCGCAAGGAAACTTCGACAAAAACTCACATAACACCCAAACTCAAAGAGACACAAATGGTGATCTTTTCTTTTTGTTTCATATTGAGACCCCAGATGACGACCCAAGGAAACCCCGCAAGGAAGAAGTCCATTGCTGCCGACCAAGCTTGCAGGAAGTGTTAGCTTTCATACTGATATGATAAATGTTGACGAAAAAACCTACAACACATAACTTTCGCAATGACAGTCAAACTCAGGGTGCAGGTACCCTCAACTGTAGGATCCCAGATAGACTGAACTGGAGTACATTGTGCAAACACAGCGATGGCTAGCAAGAAACTCAATACCAGGATAGTCAAAATCCAAAAGTAGAGTAATATCTTATGCCTAATGCTCAGTCAGTCTCCATCTTGTGTTGATTCAGCATCAACGAGTGAAACTCACCAGGTTTGATTTACAATTCGTAGTAAGAAGACAGCTACAGCACACTTGCTTATTCCCATAGCAACTGCAATGATGGACTGGCCTATTAGAAGCCATAATATGCCATGAGAATTATCCGCAAGAGTCAATGCTGACGCGTGCGTTCCCATGCCATATGATACTGAGTGTGTAATACATGCTGAGAAAGCCGTCATTAAAGCCTAGACGAAATCATTAGTCCTGCAACATAGAAGTTGTTTATCCTGTAACTTACCCAGCTAAGTATCAAAAGATAATCATCTACACCTGGCGCACCACCAATGAATTTGCGCGTATACAACCGGAGACCAATAAAGCAAAAGGAAAGGACGACTTCCATCCACAAGACACCGAGCAATTGCTGGCCCTTCTCTGTGAGCGGAACTGTCATTGTGAAGATCGAGAGTTCTGTGGTTTTACTTAGGTAAGTTGCTATGCAGTGAGTCGTTTCTTCAACGTTTGGGACCCATCGCTATTAGTAAAGAAAAGAGGACGTGTTTGATGGTATTGAGAGAATTGTAATGGCTCTTGTGTATATATGATGCCATGCCCAAGACAAGCTGGGATGGCTCAAGCCAGCATTGAATTCACTTTTCCAAACGTTACAGCCCCTGGAAGATTACCATTGCAGCAAAAGTAAACCGGAACTATCATCACCAGAAAGGGTAATTGTGTATTCAAGCGAACTTGCTTCAGCAACTTTCAAGCTTACAGTGCTTGGCTAAGAACTCCGGGCAAAACAAACACAGGATGTGTGAGAGTATCGTGGACGACATGCCGTAATTGCTATATTGGAGTGGGATAATATTGAAGATCTTCTATCATCCGTGAAACCATTTTTGATATTGCATGATGCGACTTCATGGAGTTGCACCAAACATATCAAGACAACAGCCCAGGATTCGAGGAGTATAATTAAGATCGTCGACCATTTCGTGTGTTTTATTCAGGCCATCTATTGGGAAAACTCAAAGAAACGAGTTATACCCTGAACTGGACAACAAGAAGACCCGCTGCAAATTATCCACTGAATGACCAGGTATGATACCTGGTGGCCTAAGACCATTTTGGGATGGGGATCAAGCTTTTTAAGTCATTCGTGCGTATCGACTTGCTTTTTTGCAATCGAGATAATGGCGCGGCCTCGCTTGGAAGACCCTATTCGTGGGCCATTGTGACTGGGGATGGTGATCTGCGGATTTTCAACAACAAAACGCCTCTGATTGAATCATAAATGCGACTACTGAAACTTAGGAGCAGCAATGGCATACAAAATTATTGTGAAGTTAGCGTGATCTTTCTGCTCTAATCTTTTCCACTATTGACATTCGAAAGAGATTGTTTTCTTTCCCTCATTTTCTGTGATGAAAAGACATTGAGATGAGAGGAAGTAAAATTTTCAAAATCCAGGTCGTACGTCGGTGCAGATGCGTTGCTCGGATAATCATTGATACAGGCAGGGGGGTTGAGCCTAGAAGTGGGCCACGGCATCTCAGTCGGCCCCATGTGCCCGCCTCCCTGTCGGTAGTACCAAAAAATATGTGGATACTGGTGGATAAAATGCAATAACTTGGCAGCGGACACTAGAATTATGATTCGACATTGACAGACATTTTCATCCTGCATCCCAGTAGTTTCCTAGCGGCCCCGGATTTGCATATAGTTGACCCACGAGGCCAGAACCATTTGATAACCATATCTCTCCTCTAACATGTTAATAGATGGCTACCTAGGGAAGGACGATCAGAGGTATGTTGAAAATCAAAACAGTCTTCAGCTCGCCTATTCTTGGAAAATGATAACATTGAGTTTGGATATCCATATTTCTGAAGCTTCGGTTATTCGAAGAAGCTTTTGAGAAGAGGAAATCATGCCAGCACTGCCTGCAAAATAGTTTCACAAATCTTCATAAGTCACATCAAAGAACAAGACAAAACTGCAAGAGGAACGCGAGTTATAGATATTTACATAATTGCTACTAAGTCATTAAAATTGCTTTCATTATTCTTGTTTTCATACAAAAAGTCATGCACTAGGCGTTGAAGTTGGCCAAGTCTGCATCAATAGTATTCCTCGAATATTGTGAGGCTTACCGGAACTTTATGCAGCAGATTCTTGCTTGGAAGGATCTGATATTGTCGGTTCAGTCTCGTTGTACAAAGCGTCCTTGAGCTCCAACTCGACCTCTTCACCAAATGTAACGTTGATCTCCTCCAATGTCAAACCCATCGTCTGTAAAGTCATTAGTAAAGGAAACATGTAAATTAATCGATGGGATCATTACCTCTGGGAACCAGATGACAATCATAATGGTAGTGACAACAGTCACGCAAATAAGAATCATATAGAACTTCCATCCGATGTTCTTCAAGCCAACGGAGACGGGAGCACTATACGCGATCGCATTTCCGAAGAAACTCAAATATGTTATGGTGGATCCTTCACTACGGAGATGGGTTGGCCAAATTTCAGAGCCGTAAACGTAGGAAGTGCATTCGATCGTCGAAGTAAAAAAGGCACCCATGATGAAATAGAGAGCAACAAGCGCTCTAACACCAGGGCCTGCAGGTGTACCGAGATAGTACTTGACCAATGCGGCCATTGTACTAAGAATAGCAGCCATTCCGAAACCACCAATGACTAATTAAGGTTAGCAGGATCCCCTGAAAAGTTTGTGCTAACTCACTCAAAAGCTTTCGCCTTCCAATACGGTCCAAAAGAACAACATTGATACCGCATCCAATGACAGCGCAAACAGACCAGACAATACCAAGTCCTAATTGAACAACAGTACCAAAACCGAGACCTGCCATGAATGTGGGGATGAGATTTGCGATTGCAGTGATACCAGTACCTTGACCCATAGTCCAGAGAATAATCGAAATGAAGGCGCGTTTTCTGAGATGCGGGGTACAGAAGATGTAGATGAAGCCTTTTGGTAGAGATCTCTCGGTGTCGACTTGAGCCCTAATTTGAACTGCTTCAGCACGGGCGAGAGTATTATAAGGGTCTGCTTTGGTCTTGTGCAAGTATTCCAAAACTTGCTTGGCCTCTGCGTCTCTTCCTTTCTCCATCAACCATCTTGGGGATTCGGGCAGATACCAGAGAGATACGAGGAGAAGACAAGCAATTCCACAGAGTACAATGAAGACCAGTCTCCATTGATATTCGGCTTCAACAAAATTGAATCCAAAGGCACAAACTGCAGCCAGGATATACGCGGTGACGATACCAACACCTTGGAGTCCAACAAGCATGCCGCGGTTGTGAGGAGGGGCAACTTCACTCATATAAACTGGAGAGTTGGCGAGAACCATGCCTGCACCGACACCGGTAAGGACACGGCCTGCAATAAACATAGCAACGTTGACCGCTCCAGCTGAGATAGCAGCAGCGAAAATCACAATACCAGCGGCCACTGCATTGGCAATACGTCGTCCGAAATTGTTGGATATTGGGGCTTGTAGGACAGAGCCAACCATAGCGCCACCTAGGAATCTATTTGGGGTTGATTAGCGGAATACAAGACAAAGCAGTTGTTTTACTTACCCTCCAAGCATTGCATCTATGAGCTGTAGAGCCTGCGAATTGGTCAAAAATTTGGCGATGAACGTCGGCTGAGCAACTGTGCCAGAGATTGCATTGGCAGCAAAACCATAAAGGAAGCCACCAAGACAAGCCGTCACCAAGACCTAGAGATCATCAGTAATTGTCACTTTCTAGAAGAAACATTGTTCCAAACCATAACGTTGACAAAACTTGTATGTCTCGGGATATCAACTTCATCTCCCTGGCTGAAGTTACCCCTCTCCGAAGATAGCTTCTCTTCAGTCTGTGGCAAAGGTGCCTTGACCTCTACTTCTGCCATATTGAAAGTCGTATGATAAATTGCTTGAGACGAAAATCAAGAAGAGAAATGGCAGATTGTAAGTCCGATCAAAGTCTCGTCTGGTATAACAACAAGACTCAAGCCAGGTGCGAGCGAGCGTATAATAAATCATTTATATTCCAGATGACTGGATAAAATCATAGCTAATATACCTCGTGGTATCTGGGATTATCCACTCGATAGATACCAAATACAGCACTCGCCGACGCTACTTGCGAATCTTTGCTGACTTCCAAAGTTTATCTCTCCGAATTTTGACTAGGCGTTTGCGGTAGTACTGCAATAGTCTTCGCAAGGTAAACTTGAGGCTAGGTTGAACCAATTACCCAACATGTTGCAAGGGTCATGAGTTTCTATCGATAGAAATTTGCTAGGCCAATCTTATCAATCTTCAACCTGGTGTTAGACATACTGCATAGGCGTCGGAAAACTTTTCCATAGACTAACTTCTGACGAACTTCATCAAGCGCCATTCAGCTACAGCTTAGCAGAGCTATTAAATTGCGGTTATTGGAACTATGAAGTTGCCACATCAAAGTGTCCCGTCATTTTCAAAGATCGTCCTGACATGCCACCAGCTTAGCATTGAAAATCTAGACGCTCGGCCTACCCCAGAACCTGCAGAATTAGTTCCATTCCTTGCCCCGCCGTCAAATTTACTTGGCGAACGTGTGGATAGGAGGTGACAAGGGATGACTAAAGCTTCTACGACTGTAGCTTTTATTTCGCGTGAAAGTGAAGCTTGGTCCTAATATGCCACAGGTTTGCCGGCATATATAATCGAGAATGACAAGGTGGGGATTATGACCAATCGAATGTAAGAGATCTAGAACCTCCTCACCGCATAAATTTCGATTTCCCTACTAAAACCATTAATTTTTTTAGCTTTTAGGACCCCTATTTCTTTATTAAGACTTTATATAAAATAACGAAAAGAATTTAAAATTGATTTAAAATTAATTTAATTATATAAAAAACAACACCTAGTTTATTTTTAAATAATTTTATTTATAAAATTAGATATTATTGAAAATAAAAACCATAAATTTTCTAAAAAAAAATCGATTATTTTATATAGTGTACTTTGAAAGTATGACAAATTAAAAGATTTCAATTTTTTTTAATTTCAGATCTGTATAATTTATAAATAAAAATAAATAAAAATAAAATATATTATTTTTTCAATAAAGAATAATATTAATTATTCACTTTGAAGTTTGAAAAATAAAATTTCTTAAATCGAAAAAGTTATCAACTTTTTTAATTTGTATAGAAAGACTATATGATTTTTATAGGGATTTTGTTACAAAATTTATAGAGTGCGATAAGTAAGTTCGATAACTCTTACATTACTAAAATAGTATCCGCAGTGGATAAAGATGTCAGAGCTTCAGCAGCCAGCCCCACCACCAATCATTCAACTCTCCACACGTTCGAAGGCTTCATAGCTCGCTTGATGTGTTATATTGTCTCACTTGCAGTTCCTACGTGATTTATGAAGTCAATTCAATTCAGTTGGTTGGCCATCAAGGTGCAGCAGTGATCTCTCCTATATCATACTACTGTTGCTCTGGCTAAATTTGCTTTAAAGAAACATACACTTTCACTCCAGCTTGAGTCAGTCACCGCACTTTATACCTTTCAATTCACATCATCCACAGAATGGAAGTTCCAGAGGCTGTCGTCTACCCTGTCCTAAAAGGCAAGGTTGCGATCGTAACCGGCGGTTCACAAGGCATGGGAAAGGCCACATCGTCAGTCTTCCTACGAGCTGGTGCTCAAGTGGTCATTGCCGATGTGAAAGAAGTCGAGGGCCAAGCAACTGAAAAAGAGTTGTCGCAGTTTGGAGAAATCTTGTTTGTGCGATGCGACATCTCCAAGTCAGCGGACGTTCATAATCTCATCGCGGTAACAGTCGAGAAATTCGGCAAGCTCGATGTAGCTGTTAACAACGCTGCTCTCACGCCGGACAAGACACAGCTTATCGATTTTGATGAAGACTACTGGAATACTCTCGTGGGAATCAACCTTACTGGAACAGCATTATGTTGCAAGTATGAAATGCAACAGATGGCAAAACAGGGCACTAAAGGTTCTATTGTCAATATTGCATCTATCAACGCTTTTAGGCCACAACCAAACATGCCCGCTTATACAGCAACCAAGCATGCTATCATTGGTTTAACTAAACATGCCTCTGTAGAGGGAGGGCCAAAGGGGATCCGAGTGAATGCCGTTGCACCGGGTGCCATCTTTGTGAGTTTACGACTATGTTGTAACAATATAGCATTTTAATGAAACTAACGTAAAGCAGAGTGATATGTCAGCCGCGGCATTGGACATTATGGGAACTACTATGGAAGAGTTCGCCCCAACGGTCAGCAACTTGCATCGTTTCGGAATGGCTCATGAAGTTGCACAAGCCTCGTTGTGGCTCTCATCAGATAACTCCTCATATGTCACTGGTGTTTGTTTACCCGTGGATGGAGGATATTTGGCGAAGTGACCTAGAATATTGGTCGTTTGTATTGACTGAAAGAATAGAAAATGATCATAAAGGCATAGTCGCCTCTCAAAGCTACTCACATTCTCTCGATAGTGACGTCGCTCAGTACCTTGTTTCGGCCTCGTTAACCTTGATTGGTTTGCGACTGACTGTCAATTGTCCATCTCATCGTCACCTGACATCTTGCCACGTTTTGTGTTAGCATTCTGTATGATAACTGAGAAAAATCTTAACTTAATGATTAATATTCACGTGGCTATAAAGCTGAGCACATAGATCCACCTGCCAGAACTCAAGGAAAAGAAACAAAGCTGGGGTACATTAGTATCGAGTTCGTCCCTACATAAGATGCTAATTGAGTCTTGGAGCAAGAGACTAGACTCGCCTCTTCAACAGCGTCAGCCCATGTAACTATCAGACCACTCTGTATGCTTTGAGAAACCTTTGTCTCGGAGCAACGACCATCCATCTTGTTCAAAACGCGGTAAGCGATGTAAAATAACGAGTCGGTGATGGTTGCTCCGATAACTCCTATGTCGGCAAGAAAAGTCCAATTCTAATCTTGAGCAATGGATGTAGCCATCAATTCCGCGTTCAAAACTCCTTAGCGTGGTTTATTTTTGCTAATGATAATTGGATGTCTCCATCAAATGTTGAGGCTTACTCCTGAGAAAGCTTTTGGCAGGGTCAATATCAATTTCTTGGCAGCCTTTTCACCTTGATTATGTTACCCACAACGTTACATAAAACACCCAGTGCCGTCTAAGATCACACGTAAAGAGTTAATCTTGCACCAATGAGGCTCCATTTCATGGAGGAATATTCTCATTTCCTATTCCCAGGATGAAGAATTTGATTTTATTCTCATGCAAATGCTTGTTTTATCCACTTTTCCTTCAGCCCGGGAAAATTCAAGTACTGAAATAAGCTTAGTGTGAATCCTTGTGTGAAGATTCCTGCGGTAGTCTTGAGTCAGTCCTTTGAGGTTCGATCGCTGTCTAGAATGGGAAAATAGCTGAATTACGAACTAGCAAGAGTAAATCGATACTCAGAACCACGTGCGATAGGTGCAGTGGTTGCGAGGCTCAATGACTAGAGAAGGTACTAAACCTAGTCCACAAAAATATACATTGAAACTTGCCGCAAGATATAGATGGGGGGACCCGTATACCCTTGCCCGGTACAGGGAACGGCTAACTTCAGGAAGAAACACTTGCTCCGCTATTTGGGAAATCCGGAATCAATTCCTGTACCCACTTTGAACCCACGAAGTAAGTAACAATTGCACTCGTTCACCAAATATGCTTTGGCTCATGAGATGAGATGGAGCTTTGAATAAACGGGGTATTTGAAGGAAAGCGTTTTGACGACTGGAATTAGGCCAATCATCACCTGAATCTGCAATCTAATGCATACTGGTTTCCAAAACATGTAATTTCTGCCGGCTGTGAGGTCTAAGTTAGAGAGATCTGCATGATTTATGTTTGATTGCCAGTCTCCCAGTTCCATGGAAAGATGTTCCCATGTACAATGCGTTTATAGCATACCATGGTGGAGAAAAAGCTGAATCTCGTTTCAGGGGTAGTGAGAGGTTGGGAAGGTTAGATCTGTCATCACAAGTTTGGTTAATATGTAATCGACCGATAACCAATATTCAATAGAAGTCATCGATAATTCCAGCTATAACTCGAGGTCTCATCACATCAGCTCAGCCAAGAAAAACATGTCAGAGAAACAACAGGCTGCAGAACTTCGGAGCCATGAAGGTAAATTGGCTATTGTGACTGGGTCAGTCAGAAGTAAGCTCTTTCTCAAATCCCTAACAATTACATACTCGTGATGCTCATCAAAGCTTAGGTATTGGGGCTGGAACGGTTAGAAAGCTGGCAAGCAAAGGATGCAATATTGTAATCAACTATGCCACTACAGGCTCTGATGATGCCGCAGCTACTCTCAAAGCAGAGCTCGAGTCGAAGCATTCTATAAAAGCGATAACCGTGCGTGCAGATATTAGTACATCTGCTGGCTGCGACCAAATTATCGCTGCTGCGAAAGAGAGTTTTAAGAACTCCAATACTGGTGCTCTGCAGATCGATATACTGGTGCATAATGCTGCAGTTTTATATATCGGTCCCCTTGAGAGTGTTATCGAAGAAGAATTTCACCACATCTACGCTGTCAATGTGTTGGGTCCTACGCTATTGACAGCAGCTTGCAAGCCCTTCCTACCCACCGATCGTTCTGGCCGCATTGTGATGATGTCTAGTATCAGCCCCAAAATTGGGACGCCGCACACAACATTGTACTCAGGTACGAAAGCGGCGATGGAGGCAATGACTCGTGTGTGGGCTAGAGAATTGGCGGAAAGAGCAACAGTTAATGCTATCAATCCTGGGCCTGTTATGACTGACATGTATTTGTCTGCATCTGAAGAGGTTAAACAGGGTCTGGCTTTGTGGAATCCATTGACGCCATTGGCCCCAGTCAGAGAAACCGACAGTGCCGAAGTCAGAGAATTAGGCAATCGATTGGGTGGAAGAGCGGCTTATGATCATGAGATTGCAGGCATTATTGCCATGATTTGCGATCCAGATTCATCGTGGATGACGGGAAGTTTGATAAGTGCTAATGGTGGACTATCTTTCAGCATGTAAGCGCTAGTAGGTAGTAGGAAAATTAGACGCTGTGAAATGCTTTCCGTACCATTATGTGTGACAAAACCGAACACAAGTATTCAAGTGGCAAGTTTAGGACCCAGGGCTGATGGTACGAGCATGCTTGTCAAAAAGGACCCACGATGTTCCAGCACGATGCCCGAATAAACTAAGCAACAGCCCAGGTCATCTGATCGTTCAGCAGGCGTTCAACACAATAGCTTCTACCCAGTAGCTCGCGATATCTTGAGATATCCCAAGCTCCAATGAAAGCTACTCTGTTGTGATAATACAAGTTCAGCTTGATGAGTGTGTCGAAGTTTATGCTTTGTTGTCGAGGCAAATGGCGTCGCACAAAGTGCACTCAGTGTGGACGAAATAAAGGGTCAAAACCAACTCATCAGGTTCATTTGCCATAAGGAATCAACTGATCAATGCCTCCCATCGAATCATGAAGATTGATAAATGCCTTTTTCCTATGTTGGCCAAGGCACTGAGTGACAATCAATGTCGTGCACGGACCATTGATCACCACCAATTCAGTCGAACAAACATCGTCGAAGTGAGAATCAATGCTGACGTCTAGGACTTCCAGTTGTAGCAATGATTGAGCCTCAGACTGTTTCCTTTCACAAACAGCAATTAACACTCTATCATTCTATAATATGATAAGCTTATGTTGCGGATATCTCGAGCAAAACGACGCTTTTTAGCTCTCGACGTACGATGCTCCTTGATCACCACTGTATATGCCCCGACAGGATAGTGTGAGTCCTTCGATCTCTGCTGTCTTAACATTCGCTGTCCAGCTTTGATCTCGAATGTAATAGACTGGGAGTCTGATTAAGCAGCTTATCGGCGGTACCAGCTTCCACCCAGAGACGTATCAGGTACGACGCGCCGAAAAACAACGGTAAAGTACAAACATGACGCGAACTAAGTTAATCAATATGGATTCCGGAGCACTAGAACCTTACGCCATAATGCTATGCCATCATATCTTGCAACTTCTCATGCATGGTCTGATAACATGTTTGCAATACATACTGAATACAAGAACACACTTGGTGGAACCATGATCGAGACTTCCGTCCGTACACTCTTTCCTAATATAAAATATTGCTGGATCGATACAATATGCATCGATCAAAATGACGAAGAAGACAAGAAACTTCAAATACCTCTGATGGGTGACATATACGGAAATGCGCAAGTGGTAGTGATTGTCACAACTTGTGATTTCCCGCGTTGGGTAACGCAGAATTATTTGGATCAACTCGCTAGGGACCTGGATGAAGCCATCGCAATTTCCAGGGAAGAGGAATATACAGATTTCATGTCGGAGTACTGGGCGCATGGAGATGGACGAAAAAAAATCATCGAGGGGATGAATTGCCTTGAACTGTTTACCAGAACACGATGGGCTGATCGAATCTGGACATTGCAGGAGTATATTCTTGCTCGACAAGTTGTTTGGGTTGGTAAAGAAAACGTGTGTCTTCAGATAGACGATGCGATGTTCAGTGCACTGCCTGACTTATGTGATGTCTTCAATATCGGGGAAGCAATAGGTGGGAAATATGCTAAAGTATATGACTTTTATACCGGCATGGTGAATGCTGGAGCTGGGAAAATTGATCAGACTCGTGTCATGGAGCTCCTAGGAAATCGCTCAGCTTCTTTTCCAGATGATGAGATCTATGGTGCAATGGCAGCTTCGGGGGTAGTTATACCACCAGGAGTCGTAACTGGACAGGACAATGTTTGGGCCCTTTGGTGGGAGGAAGCAATACGTCAAGGGCATCATCGTTGGGTGTTTCTTCCTCCTGTCATATCTAAGTTTACCAGTAAAAACTGCATCATGCCACCGTTTAAGACGCGTCACATATCCTCACAGTATTCCGGACTCGATACAGTACATGTCAAAGATGGTGAAGTGAGCATTTCCGATGGAAGCGTAAACATGCATGGTCGCTGGGCTGGTTCCTGTCGCATAATAAGGCGCTTGGGTAAAGTCTATCGAGATTCCAATGGAGGTCTCCGCCGAGATGTAACAATGATACTTTTCGCCAATGGTCGTTGGAAACTAGCTTTACGGCTTGTTGCAGCATTCAGTGGGGGTAGGTATTCCTGGAAGCAACGCTTAGCCATCGCACAGGTTCCGCAAGCAAACTACCATCGTGCTAAAAAGGCCATTCGCTCCAAAATATTACACGAGATGGTTCTTCGCAGGTTGACAGATTATCAAAGAATAATATGGGGTGACTTTATGAGGCTCATGATGAGTCAAATGATTTCACTGAATGATGGGATAGCCTATCTTAGCTGTATCGAGAACACCTTAAAGTCAACGGATATCATCATAGTTAGCGAGGACAATCAGCCCTTAAACAGGCTCCATGGTCTTAATTTTGGTATACAAGATGGTAGTGGAAGAAGTCCTTTCATGATTGTCTCGGCACCAGACTCTAAATCAGGATTCAATGATAGGGCTCATGTTAGAGCTCTCCATAAAGTTGGGATGTCTCTCCCAGCGACTGTTTGCAAAACATTGCGCAAAGCAGGTGCTTATAAGTGCCATGTCATCGAATCACATTCCCACGTATTCAATATTGGGGGCAAGGCATGTTGGTTTTGCTCAAAGACTGCGGAAATTGGAGGATATCAAGATAACGCTGGAATTCTCAGCTGATGGGATTCACAACTCAATGTGGAACACACCTCAAGTGACTAGTTATATTGAGTCAAGGAACAAGCAGACATCATAACTAGTTACCTCCATTGGCCCGGGCTTCCCCCCGGCTTCATAACTGTGTCCCCGTGACAAAATGTAATAATTTCGGATTAAAATAAATCAATTAAAAAAGCACACCTAAATATTATAAATCTTTCATTTTTATTATGATTTTTTATGACTTTTTATCTTAAAAATAATACTTAGTTATCAAAATATAAATATTAAAAAAAGCTCGATTTTGATGCATTTTGAAGTGGCCCTCCGAAAGCTCTCTCATTATTTTCAATTGTCCTTCGTATGCAACTGATTCCTCGAATTGTTGTATTGCTTTAAAAGCCTCCCAGCCAGTAATGAGCCAAACTTCTTTAGGTCGCTCAATCAATCGGCCCCATACTCCATGTTCGAAACCTGGCTGTGATTCCTTCGTAAGCGGTTTGATAATCTCAAGCCACTTCTTTCCTTCCTCCGATTTCTTATCTGAGATAGTTTTATCAACAGGAATATGAATCACGATCCATGATGTAGGGGCCGTCAGTCGTGGAGCTTTGCTTCTTGCCATCTTTGATTCAGTCTTTGGATATACGGAAGTGTGATGGATGGTAAGATATCTGGTTACAGTTGTCTTCATTGGGCAAACGATGGCTTATTATATCTTTTGTGGAAGGAGCTCTTCTGGCTGACAACAGAGAGTATAAATGGGAGTCGCTGACTGTATTTATCCTGCTGGTATCAAGGTGATTAATCACGTACTGTCAATGTTCGACTGGGATAACTACAGCCCCTGTAGTCCGGGGCCAAGACAGCTGCAAGTACCTGCCCTACTATTCAGCAGATTGTCTATCACCAGACTTCATTAGTAATCACTAATCGACCTCAACTCATGTCCTTCTTCCCCGTTGCATGACCACTATTACTTGCATGGCACGTTGTCAACGTACTCAAAATTTCAGTATCAACAAATCCGCCTTCATTTCTGATCTACGACGTAAACTATGAAAGCCGAAGCAGATGTGAGGCCGCGTTCCATCACAACTCTCTTACTTGCTAACTCATACCACTCGTAAGAGACTTGTATTTACTCTGCCATTAACCTTTGCAGTCTCTGCCTGTCGATTTCCCTGTTCTAATACTTATCCCATCTTCCTCCCAATATTCTCGAACATTGATCGATCATGGTATGAAGCCTGAAGCACATCAAATCTAGCGCTTCTAACTTCTTTTTTGCCTTTTGCAATTGATCAATAACGTATTGTTTCTCAGATGCTACTAGTTCCTCCATTTCCAACTCCGGAAAGTTCTGGCTCAAATACGGAAAAGCACAGATTTGTTCCATGATTAGGGAAAGAACCTTCCTTGATTCTAGAATCTCTGCTTTCATTGTCTCGATGTTGTCGTTGATCTCTTTACCTGAAGTGACTTCAAATTAGAATTCAGACGTAAAGTGTTGGAGTCATCTTGGAAATCTAAGTACTGACCTTGGTCGGCATCAATTTGCGTCTTATATGTGTAAAATCGTTGCAATTTTCCCTCTGCCATAGTGAACCGTTTGATGAAATCATCGACTGGAAATTGCGCCAAAGCAGAAACTATGAAGTTGTCGAGTTCTTTCATTCTCTGAAGATTACGGACTCGCACTTCAGGGACAGTCTTCTCATCTAGTTGAAGAGGGAATTCGGGGGCTCAAGTTATTGACTTTGGCCGCAGTATCCTGATCAGACGCAGAAATCTTAGCATTCAACCCATTTGACCCACTGTCGGGCTGGACAAGTAATTCGTGTATCTCGTGTTTGAAATCACTTGACGTGGGTGAAGATTCCGTCATGATCGAGCCATTTGGGACTGGTTTATCAGAAGAAGACATTGTTGCCGCAGTCGTCGGAATGATAGCGTTATCTTTTTCTATTTCTGAATGGGTTTACAGCTCATGCGCGCAGATGTACTCTGAATCTAGAGAGGAAAGCTCTACCAAGATTTTAACGTGATCCTCTCAAATCGTTCTTTCCCACGACATTGAGAGTCAGCGCTGATAAAGCGAAAATAGTCTTCGCGAAACCCCAAATTGATAGGGATCAGGTTCCAGTGTGCTAGCTTTACATTTATGATTTAATCCTCCTTTTAACATCATCACGACTATGAGCTATAGCGTGCCTCCAGCATCACTGCTTACAAGCGTTCCATTTTGATCTGTCGGCCATCATGAACTTTAAAAGGTGAATCAACCACAACACGTTTCGATTGTCATAATTCTAAGTCAGCTGAGAACCCTAATCCTGTAAAATATAGATGCCTACTTGTGTTAGTGATCATTGCTATCTTGGGAGGCATGTCGCTGTCTTGATAATCGTAGTCATCCCTGGCTCCAATTTCAGATTTGCCTACGCCTTTCGGATGAAAGCGAGGTTCGTGATTATTTTCTCTGCAATTGGAAAAGTTACCACTCGCCTGGTCTCCAGCTTCCAATCCTCTCAATTGCCAACTTGACACAGTAATATGCGCCTGATGGGGAACTTATCACTCTTTCGTTCTCTCTTGATTCGACAATTGCATTATCGATAGGGGAAGTCGCAGAAAAATAAGCCCTCCATGTCAACTGCTATTCTTGTGATTACTGTGCCAAATAAAGCAAATGAACACAACCATGCATGATCCCGTCAATGAGATGACTTGAGCCTAGCAGAAAATTATGAATTTGCTTCCAAGTATTAAATTCCACGGCTCTGATTTTCGATAAGTAAGAGAAACCTCAGTGAAAGCTTTGGTGCTACGAACATGCGCAGCATAGTTTTCGGCAAAAATGAAAAGCTGAATTAATGAAGAGGAGGAGTTGCAGTTCACTGCACATAGGCTCAGAGAGATGGTTGGCTATGAAGGAGGATGTTAAGGAGTTTTGAGCAAGGCGAATCAAATTTCTTTGGCAGTGAAGATTGGTCGGAGGCTTGTAGAGACTCATTGAGACACGCCTAAGAGAACGGGCATCTAATCAGAATGTTACTCTATGTGAAACATTGCAGTGTTAGAATGACATGTTACACAACAGTAACCCATCACCGCCTTGTTTACATCATGATATGCTGACTCATAATTCCAATGTATCCGCGGTCCAGATCAACTCACATCATGCACTGTTACACAAAGGCTTGCAGCAGGCTTAACTCGGCTCTGCTTGGTCACTGTTGATTGGTCTTCAAAAGTTTTCATGTGAATACTCGTCGGATTGTTTCAAACGCAGCAAGTGTGTATATTCTTTCTTACACGAGAAAATGACTTTTTAATATTTTCAGTTTGCTGTTATTTGAGAAAAATCATCTTGATATCAGTACCAGATCTAGGAATTCATGATGTCCGGAATGCATCTTTTGTACGATGAAGATAGTTCACATGAGGTTTCACCATCGAAAAGACAGAAAACTGCTGGAACCAGGAGCGATGACTTCGAGAACGTGCGTTCCTCGCAAGATCCCCTTTCCCTAATATGGTGCTTACATCTTTTTAAGAAATTGACGTTACCCGTTGCTCTTGAGCTCGGCGAAGAATCTCGAGATCTTGAATGTAAGCTCTCAAAGCTTCAGCAATAAGAGGGACTGCAAACTGACAAGACAGTCAAACTTCTAACAGAATGTCTCACCTCATCCAAATGCGATATTGCACAACCAGCAAAATGTCAATGTCGCTACTGTTTCTATTCCAAATACGGACACGTAGTTTTTGTACCGCACGACAGTCATCGAGATGGCGAGAAAGGTCCTGGAGAAAAATGCGCAGATTGCATTAGTGTTGAAAGGACAGTGAGAGGGCAGTATGCAAGTGTGTTGCACAAGATCTTATTATCAATTCTTCCATGAACCTAACTTTCCACAGTCGAGATCTCAGATCACTTGCCCTTGTCGCCCGAAGTCCGACATGATCTTGCGTGTCATTTCCGGGTAATCAGAGAAATTTTAAGCAAGATGTTTTCGACCAAGATTGCGGAAATGAGAAAAAATATAGCGCGCGTGAAAATCGAAAGTATGCCTATCTTACAGGAAGAAACTTCGATGTTGCAGAAAGAAATCAAGGCAATTAGTAGCCAGATGAGTGATCTAGAAATGGAAATAGAAGGTATATTCACTACTGTGATGAGAACTGGAGAAGATATATCAGGGGCGGCGAATGGCTCGTCAATACTGCTGAAAGAAAATATGCCGACACTTGTGCATCTGCAGAAGGAAGATGCTTCGGCAGTTTCTCCTAGAGCGGGTTTTTTAGAGGAGGAAATAAAGAGATTGCAGACTGAAAACGCGACATTGGAGACGAAGATACAGCAGTTTCAAGAAGAAAAGAGCATGAGAAGTTTCGGAACCCAGAGTGTCCCCATAAATTTCTTTACCTCGAAACGGAAATTAGATTCATAAACAAGGGGCTGAAAAACAATCCATATTGAGGCAGAGAGAAATAAAAGTATGATTCATATAAACACTTGTTGCAGGCTTGGCAAGAGCTTTGGTATACGTTCAGAGTACTGAAATACGCACATCACATCCTATAGACTCAAAACACTTGTCAACATTCATTTTCATTTGATCTTCATTCCATTTCATGTTCGTTAGAAAAACAAATAGTAAAACCATCGATTACTCCAATATCTACGAAACCAATCTACCTATACATCATCCAAAAGTACCCTCCAACCCCCCCTAAACAACCTTAGCATCCTTATTCTTCGAAAAGAGATTCTTCCCCTCCGCATTTTTCCCCACCCAATAATACGGACCCTGACTTCTATCCTGCCACTCATGTTTATTCTTCATCACAAACATGCCACCCAATCCCTCCGCAAGCAACAAATCCGTAATATAGTGACTTCCCCCATCACATATATATCCATCACTTCTTCGGGACCATCCATAGTTCTGCGGACATCCAGTACTCAATTTTACGAGTTTTCCCAGGGCCCAGGATTCTTGTTCCTCGCGCTCGGCGCCTTTCATGTTGTTGATGGTGGGTTGCCGACTGGCCATTTGGATGTCGAGGGGTGTGTGGAGGATACTGCGGGTGCTGGATATGTTTTCTGGGGCTTTGGAGGGGCCGATACTCACTTCTTTGATGGTGGTCATGGATGAGAGCATCTGAGATTGGTCTCGGTTGAGAAGTGTGGGTTGGGAAATGCTGGGGTCGCGTTGGAGATATGTTTGGCGGTTGGATGGGGTTTGCAACATTATTGTTGGTTGCCGAGAAACATCACGTTGGAGCTCAGTGGTACTGTCGAATGGCTTCAAGGAGGGTCCACGGCCTAGGGTTTGAGGGGATGTGGCGGTGTAGTTGATTGGACTACGAGATGCTGTGTAAGAAGATGGAGCCTTAGATTGACCTCTGAGATTTGCTGCATGTGAAGGTCTCATAGACGTTTGGTGTGATGGAGCTTGAGATGCGGCTCTTAAAGTTGCAGCGTGAGAGGGTCTTATTGTTGGTTGAGTATATGTAGCCTGCGATGAACCTTCAATACTTGGAGCTTGAGAAGGTCTCATAGTTGGCCGATGAGACTGAATTTGACCAGTTGAAGATGGTGCTTTAGAAAGGGCCTTTGGTGCCTGAGATGGAGAGCGGCTAGGAGATGGATGGAGCGGGCTAACACTCCGAGTAGAGGCGGAAGCGGATGGTGCTTGTGATTCTCTGCCTGCCACTGAAGCTGTTGGATATAGTTGACTAACGCCACGACCAGGACCAGTAGGTGGTGCTTCAGATGCCATGATAAATAATTTGGAAGGAGATGTGTGAGAAAGGGGGTATGATGGAAATATGTCTAAATTTCCTCAGGGAGTGGTCGAGTGTATTTTTCTATGTCGATAGAAGTTTGAAAGTTTGAAGGTGAAGGTGATCATTTGGAGCGCTTTTATAGATATGGGTGATCCATAGAGGAGTTTGCAAAATCATTATTAACTTTAAGAAAAATTAGTGTGTGCTCTTTATTGAATTGTGAATGGCATTATGCTTACCTTTCTTCATGGTTTTGACATTTTGCGAATTATCGAAATTATAAAAAGTCATCTGAAAGCTGAAGACGAATATTTTCACCGTGAAAGCGTTTTATACATAATAAACACAGCTCACATCAGACAATAGTGAGTCCTTGTACTGACACTTTTATTGGATTATGATATGCAAACAAAGTAAACGAGGTGAATGGGTTGCCAAGCTTTTTTCGCATAGCTCGACTACCTAAATCAACCAAACCCAATATTTCAAAAGCAACTCATAGCCCAAATTTAATAGACACAGCCTATCAATCTTCAAACCAAAATGGAAGACGCCGTATACAACAAAAACAACGACACAAACATCTCTCTCGTCGTCAACGCAACCCTCATCGACATCTACAACGGCGCAAAAATAACCGTCCACAAAGGGCAACCATGGGCGTACAAATTTTTCATCCCCCAATGGCCCGAAGGCGCGAATACACTAATCGGACGGGGCGAAGCCGAACTCAAAATCGGTATGGGATACATTTTACACGGACACCTTTCCATCAACGAAGGCAAGAACTGGACACGTACTGCATTTGAAGTCGACGACGCGGTAGAATTAGGTAGCACTGCTAGACAAGAAGAAAAGTGTCCGGAATTTCGGGTTTCGGGTTTCGTGCTCGAGGCTAAGAATGGGTGGATCACTTTGGGTTGGGAAAGAATTGATGATGATGTGGGAAATTTTGCGTGGGTTTATGTGAGGGTTCAGTGGGAGGAGGCAAATGAGGATATGCTGTTTAAGCAGTATTATGTGGAGGGTCATATGAATGGGTATGATCCAATGAAAGATTGGGTTGCGACTTTAGTCACTCCTGCTCCTTGAGTAGCGATCGAAACTGAGCGGGAGAACTGAAGCATGGGTATGGCTTTCTATCTAGGCATTTTGCGGTAGTCTATCACTGGCAGATTGCACAAATCATAGTTTCACATTGAATTGATAGCCTTCTGCAAATATTTATTCTAGTCCTTGCGATTTACGGAAATTGAAGTTCTCAGGACTTGAAATCTCCGATATTACGGAGGTAAAGTGAAGACTGTGTCCAGATATACAAGATTGACATTGAAATAGTAAAATGTACCTAGCGAGGAATGAAAGCCAAAATCACAAAAGGTGTTCGTTGAACTTTGCATAAAGGGAGCCAAAGTCTCTGGGTATGATCTTCCACCACGTGGCGAGCAAAGATGTGTAGGAACGACTCACTTTAGACGGCTATACGCAGTTTGAAACCACCAGAGACCAATCACCTCATATCATGGTGGTAAAGTATTCAATGGGAATCATTCAAGGCATGGAAAGGCACATATAAATTATCTTACATCTGACCAGCCTTTTGAGCATTTACACACGTGGAGGCCTGATCAATATCGATATGGTATTTAGATGCGTCCATTTTGCCACCCACAATTTTAACCTCCTAAGCTGCTCCAATTGTCCTCTTGTTCTTTTGATAGCCACGCTAAGGCGCTCAAAGCATATGCATCTATACCTATTTGCATCGTAGGGAAAATTTGTGGGGCAAAGAGAGAACTGTGATTTCCTGGTATGCTCTCCGCCAATGTCCCTTCTTTTTGAGCCAGGTCAAAATTTCTCGGGAGACGTACAACCATAGGCGAATAAAAGAGAAGGTCTTTCAACAGCAGACGCGAGGGTGCAAATTTTTTCACTAAATCTAAGCTTAGGGTAGTCTGCAACACAACTTTCATCGGCCTGAAATGATCGCGAAAAACTTTGCCTACTCTTTCAGTAACGGAGGCATTATTATAGGTTACGGGAAACGACCGAGTTGGAGTAATTGTCGGTTCGACGACTGCATTGGACGCTGCGCTTTCAGCATTGACAATCCGCAGAACTCCATTGTAAAGTTTCTGTCTTGTAGTCTTGTCATTTGCGCGAATATCAATTGTGATCGTCGCATCGTCGCTAACCACATTTTCTGCAGTAGTCGAGCCAGAAATGAAACTTGCGCACGTAACAACTGCGTGTTCACTAGGATGGACTTCCTAGACACAAGATTTTGTAGCCTCATGACGGCACTAGACGCCATGGCAATAGAATCTATAAGACGCTCGGGCATGGAAGCATGCCCACCGCGACCGTGAAAAGTTACGCGTAGATTGTCGCAAGAACTAGCCATCGTACCCGGTCGGATACCAATGACACCAGCTCAGGCTGGAACAACGTGCCCACTGAAAACTACGTCAGGAATAGGAATTTTGTGTCTTTCGGGATCGTATAGTCCATCATCGACCATACTTTGAGCACCTGTACCTCGTTCTTCGGCTGGCTGAAAGATAAGAACGATAGTTCCATGCCATGATTGTCGCGCCGATACCATAAATTCAGCAAATGCCAAAAGACATGTAATATGCATATCATGACCACATGCATGCATCACCGGTTGCTATTTTCCATAAACATCGACGACTCGCTTTGTGCTAGCATATAGGAGACTAGTTTGTTCTTCAATAGGAAGAGCATCCATATCGGCTCGTGAGAGCACAATGGGGCCGGGACCATTATGAAAAACAGCGGCAACACCGTAACCCCCAATCTTTGTCTTGATATCAAAGTCTGTCGAGATTGTGGAAAGATGATTGACAATGGTGGTCGATGTTTCTATCTCTTAGTTAGAAAGTTCGGGGTTTGAGTGGAAGTGTATGTATAATGCTTATAAGACATTAGTTCAGGACGGTGGGCATCTAAAATGTCGGTCAGCGGCATGATGAAAGTGTAGCATGAAAACTAGCTTCCGTGCACGAGTTTATTCTTTTCTTAGGGCAGAGCAATGTACGGAATAACTCACGAGTCACCTAAGGTTAACGTCTTGATCGTCCCATGGTCGATCAGAGTGGTCAATGCTTTTTGATCACGCGTTTTCGAACAAAATTCGTCCATGCACTCAGAAGAACTGGACATGGAATAGTTTCTATTCTGTCAATCATCGCTCGTAGCAGAAGGTTTCCTATTGTTATTTATATTTGAGAAATCAATCGGGCGACAAGAAATCCTCACAGCTGTAATTCTCTATGAGAAAGCTAAAATCTTTCCCTCAAGTGGCTGAAAACGCCGCCGTTGAGACTCACCTAAAATTTATCGAGTCAATAGGCGAAAAAGCAACGTCACTCCTTGGTCAGACTAGATATATTCTTGTGAACTCGGTCACCATGGCTCGTCGTGAGTTATCTTCCGACTGTTCCAGCACTAGATGAGACAGTAAGGCCATGCTCAAAAGTCAGATTGAGGTTTACCCAAAGCAATGACATAGAAAGGTACACTTTGCGCAGAATTTGTCGCATTTAAATGATATATACGCTGAAGTGATACCCCTTATAGCAGTCCCAATCTATTTACAAAAGCAAATTAAACATTGGTGTCTATGTTCATGGCGATTTTGGCATCGTCTTTACCAGCAGCGGAAGGCTGATGATTTAACCCATCAAGAAATAATGGTGGCAAACATAACCAACTGCAGCCTTTCCGCATCAAAGGTACCAATTTTTCGACAATATCCCTCTCATTAACTACACGTCCGGGTGTAGGACCATTCATTGAAACCGCGTTCATACGATCTCTCTTGGATACCTTCTCAATCTCCCACCATTCTATCCATTCCGTGCGAGGAACTACAAACCTGGTGCCACAAATAGTACATAAGGTTGGCCCGGAATAATGGACGTTTTCTGCTCTTCGGAGTACTGATGGAATGCGAGGCGGAATGTATTCCATGTGAGATTCGAGACGTGTGAGTTCAGGATGACGAATACATGCCTGTAAAGCTTTCTCTACTAGACTTTGGACGCGAGACTGTACCGCAGGGGGCTGCGGAATATCACCCAGGCTTGCAATGGGCAGTTGGATATGCCTTCCCATGTCATTCCATCGAGGATCAGAAGGGAACATAGGCCCTTTTATAAGCTGTCCAAAAGCGTCAAGGAATCTGACTTCTGTCCTACATTGATATGACAAGGAACACTTCTCGCCACCCGAGATTGGTGTGCTTGGGCGAGGTAGAGTGCCTTGATGCCACTGGTGAAATATATGACCGGGTGTATCACGATTCAGAGGTAGAGATATCGTATCTTCTGCAGTGGGAAATAATGGGGATATTAATGGTGATTGGCGCTGTAGATCAATCTCAAAATGTGGTGCGCCGTTCTCAGTACTCTCGGGTCTTGCCATTGGGAGGTAGAATGGATTTGGATGTAGCTGGAAATCATATAATCTTGCAGTCCTGCCACTTTCAGATAATGGCTGTGTGTTGAAATCGATCTATGAGGCGTTGTTAGTGATTACTCTGAGTGTGGCAGGTTTGTCAAAAATATGGCTTCATTACTTGTCGGGCAATTGCCCAAGGCTTGATAAATAGGACGTCGCTTACCGGCATCGAGTTAAGTCCACCGACAAGAAGGTCAAGAATTTCAAAAGGGAGATATCCCAGGTTGTTTTGGGCAATGTTTAAATCTTCTAATCTTTTCAAGTTTCCGATACTGGGTGGTATTTCCTCCAAATTATTGCCTCGTAAACTGAGGGTAGATAAACGATTTAGGTTGAATAACTCGGCGGGAAGCTTGACTAGCTCATTGGCTGAAAGGATTATCCTCAGATGAGGTTCGACGGCATAACCGCCTGCGGTTTTAACGAAAGTTCCTAAGGGGCGTATTGTGGAATTTTCAAGGTGATCAAGACCCATACGACTAATGATGATTAGCCAGAACTGTGAAGAGGGATAGTCTTCACCTACGATAGATCAACGTATTCTTCTCCATCTTCAAGGCATTTTTCAATCCTTTTTTGTGCATGAATGTCTCTAGGAGTATCGACTACAATTCTTGACTTGAGAGGTGATGGCGCAGGAATTGGCCATGCCTTCTTTCCATTCTCCATGACTAAATCTTCTATATCCGTACCATCACTACCCATGAACACCCCGCTGTCAACTTTCTTATTCAGTGTTCTCTTGTTTCTTATGGGGACTTTGCGGTCCAAAGGCTCATCCTCAAAGGCCGAATCGGAAGCTAGCTGTTGATCAAACCAAGGTCCTCTAAATTTCTGCTTCCGTCGTGTCCTCTTCTGTGAGTATTTTTCTACTGAGGGGTCATCGTCGCTAGAGAATACTGGAGGATCGCTTGAATCAGGAGGGGGAGTATCGTGGACGCGTTTTCGCGACAAGTTTGTTTTTGTGAACGTAGAAGTAGAATTTGTATTATCTCTTATCAATCGTGGTAAAGAAAGTTCGTCTGCCATATTCAACAAATCGTAGGTAACTACCCGTGCCGTACCTTCCTCAAAGAATGTGTCAATTGTCCTAGAAGATCATCAAATCAGAATGGGTAAATTCCGAAGGTTGAAGTGACAGGAAGTTGCGAAACATGGACCGAGGCTGCCAAGTTAGACTAGCGGCCGCAGGGTCACGCGTAGCGCGCTGTCTAGTGACTGAGACTGGCTTGAGACTGGCCGGAGAGCCGGAGAAATGATAACGAACTCCCGCCCTCGCATGTCATGTTATCTTAGCATCAATAATGGAGTACATAAGCATGATAAGACAAATGGCACAGACTTCTCCAGATACTTCCTCAACTCTTCTCGACATTATTATTCATTCATCACAGATTCCACCTAGGAACATCCCAGAGTTGGTTGTTATTATTATTGACATCCCACATCTTCATTAATATGCATTCAATAACACAACCTATTTGGTGAGCGCTGTTTTTTCTATCGGACAAATGGTCATCTGGATCATGTGACAGTGTCACATTGGTTAAGCGTGCTAAGCTCAAGTGCGCTAATCTAGTGCTCCTTCAACTGGTATCATGGTATTCAAGTACAACTTTTCCACCATTCATCTATCTACGACATATACCAGTCTGAGGCCACAACATTGACGAATCATTAGAAGTAGCCATACACATTCAGTGAACAAACACCTGTTATTCGTTTCTAGCTAGGACAAGTTCACCTCCAACATCGGCACTTCAAGGCTGTACTTTCTCCAACTCATTCGACAATTTTAACGTTACTCTGATAATATTCACAAGAGAGATATCTCAGTAACCTCCTAGCGATCCATAAAAAGTCAGCCACAATATTGTGAACACTGTTGCGACAAGAGAGTGGCAATATGTGTACTACTTATTTCTCTACCTACAGCAACTGCGATCACCGTCCTTTCAGGCGCACGAGATGTCCCCTCTATAACCAAAATCCTCGAGCTTGTACTCGCAAAGTCGAAGTTCTTACAGATGAAGGCCTCCTCTGTCCAAAGTGTTTCGATGAAGTCGTCTGGGTTCGATCCAAGGGTGAATGGGATATCGTAGAAACACCAGATGGTGATCTTGCGCAAGATGATTGGGTAGAGGTTGTGCGAGTGGGATATGATTGGAGAGAGGAAAGTGAAAAGAAAAATGCAAAGCCTCGTGTCAAGCGAGATAAAGCACTTGGTCCCTTTGAATTCAACGGTACCAAGCCAAAATTCAAGGCAACAACCGAGAAATCGAATCCGCAATGGGAAGAGACTCTACGAGAGCATGCGCCCCCTCTGGCGGCGCGCTCAGATGAAGTAAAGCCAGACTCCCAAAAGCTATCCAATAGTACACAAGGTTTACCCAAGTTTTCAAAATGGTCCAACGAATAAATTATTATAACGAGGGCCCGTGGTGGCTCTAGAATCACCTTGTGCCTGACTCATAAATCCAGATCGACTCGATGGACTGTATGTTGCCTTGGGTTCGATGGTTTATAAACAGATACCGATGGACTTCACATTGACGATACGCCACGAACAAAACTGAGAATCACGAAGTATGTTTCGTATGGTTTACCAGAAATAGCGAATGGGCATTGTGACTACATACTCGAAGGGAGAAAAGTCATAAAACACCCTTTGCATCAAGTTCCGATTAGAGAACTCGAGCTCTGGTACCTCTTCAGCAGCCATTCAGACCTTCGAAACCCCGATATAACACTTCTCGTCGATGATATCTTCCACCCACTTCAACTTTACCATTTGTTACACAAGCAATACCATCCGAACATGAAACAATCATGCGATTTGGGCCTTAAAAACTACTTTGAAGCTTACAAAAAGCTATTCACTGCAATAGTCAGACTATGATAGGGCTTACGGTCACCTCATTTCAAATCAAATATGCGAATTTATCTTTGGCGGATATATGGAAATTTTACTCTCATCTGAATAAAAGCGTTGAGAAAAACTTGCATCCGTGCGACTCTTCTTCCTTGGGTTGATGGCAAATATTCATCCACACTGAGGCACAATTGTTGTCACCCTGGCTTGTTAGACTTATGTCAGGAGCTGCTCGTAGACTATTCTTAATACCGTGTGAGGTTATCCAGTTCGTTCTCATACAAGTAAAGCAAGTTATTAAGTCGGTGGTTACTGATACATCTTTGCTGATTGCAGCTATTCTGTAGGCTTCGATTTCCCCGGTGAATTTCAAGCGATCTTTTACCTCTTATCGAGCCCGGTAATGAGGATGTGTCAGGAGAACTATAATGTTTCTAAAGGTGCGAAGTGTAGAGGTTATGAGTTCCCAGGATCAATATTCATAGATAGTTTGTGACGCAAAACCTCCGAAATGAACTTTGGGGGCAATTGTTAATCTGGACTTGAATCGACGCACAATTTTAAATTTTCAAGTAGAAGCAACTGAAGGGTCTTGATAATTGAATATCTCGCATGACAATGATAGGACGGTTGGAACTAGCATCGAGATCCATGTTCTCAAGGAAGATTTTATCTTGGATACATACATATTTAGCGTTGATTACAAGATACTGTCTCTCGCATCAGTCCGAGAGTTGGTTATATGTATATTAAAGAATATTCAAATCATATTCTTGGTAAATAACCAATGCGCTGTGTACAGGGTGCCTGGTATTGTGGAAAGATCTCACGTATTCAAAAGTAATTGTGATTTTGCATGTTATACTCTGCATAAATATAATTGATTATCTATCTGATTATTCTGTTATGTAACTTCTCGATAAAAGAAATTATAATATATATATATGAACCACTCTAGATTACTTACTTCCATACATCCATACTCATCCTCTTCCACTCTATCTTATTCCATCCTCTTTCATTCCCTCTTATCCCCTCTCATCTGCTCCCTTCTAATCCCCTCCTCTCTAATCCCCTCCCCTCCCACCCCATCATCTCATATACACCCCCCAGTTCACAAAATCCACCCTGCAACCCCCAGCACCACCCCAATTATTATTCCATCCCTCGAACCTCCATACCACAAACCCCCACCCCCAGTAAAAATAGGCAGCGCCGTTCCCGATCCATTTTGAATCGTGAGATTGTATACTGCAGATGATGATGATGATGTGGTGGAGCTGGAGAGGGTTGTGAGGATTATGGGGTGGAGTGTTATGGGGGGAGGAGTGGTTTGAGTTTGGGATGAGAGGAGGGGGGAGGGTGTGGTTTGGGGTGGGGACGGGGTAAGTGGATCTGTGTTGGATGGGTTTGTTTGTGTTGTGCTCGTTGAATTTTCTGTACTGCGGATACTGGGAAAGCTGGGTACAGTTGCGGCCTCTGGAGTAGTGAGTACAGAGGGTGGAGTGGTAGCTTGGGTGATTGAGGGAATGCTAATCGAGGCGGAGAATAGGGGGGTAGATTGAATAGATTGAATAGGCTCCGAATTCGCAAGACTCGAAATTCGAGAAATCTCGGAGACACGAGAGCTTTGAGTGGTTTGAACTATACTTGTTGCTGTTGTGGATATACCAGTGAGGGAAATCGTTGTGACTGCAAGTGTGGAGGTCGATGCCAGAGTCGCCGAGATGGAGACAGAAAAGAGGGATTCAGAGGCGGTGCTGAAAATTGCAGTAGTCTGTATCAAGGTGGTCTTTTCGATGTTGGATGTGTATGTCTTGGTCTGTAGGTGAGTTAGTCATTTTCGAGCAGACAATAATATATGGAGAAGCTGAAAGTAGGACAATTTTTTTTGGAATGGTGATTAAATCATACATACCTCATGATTCCGAGTATTTTTACTAGACGACACATATATGATAGTTGTAGAAGTTACCAATGCACAAATAGTTTGTGTAGAGGTATGTTCCAATGTAGAGTTGGATTCATGGCCAGAGTTAGAGTTAGAGCTAGATCCGTGTCCATGTCCATGTCCATATTCATTGCTTTCTTTAGACCCAGATTCATATCCTGATGAATCTTTAGTTCCTTTTGATTCGTGTCCAGAAGATAAAGACTCTGAGCCTGAGTTGCCTATCGAGTTGGAGTCAGTTGCTGAGTGTTTCGAACTAGAGCCCTTTCCTGAGCTAGAATTAGACGAGGATTGTGAGTCATAGCTTTTTTGGGGTCCAGCTTCAAAAGACGAAGAAGATAAAGATTTTGATCCATGGTTATGTTTCGAACCAGAATTTTGGAACGTCGACTTTGAGCCGGATGTGCTATTAGACGCGGAAGACCTTTTGGAACCCAGGCTCATAAGCTTAGACAAGCCGGAGATATCTGTAGACCGTCTATCAAGATAAAAGGACAAAGGTGCCGAAGTGCCGGTTGATTCCAATCCAGTTGAGCTTTTCGTCTTAATAGTAGCCCGGTTCGTAGCGCCCACATACAGATTTGTGGTCTTTGTGACTACAGGGCTGCAAGCTGGCAAACCAGTTTCCAGTACCACAGAATTCGAAGCTGCTTTACTCTTTGACTTTACCGTTTTCGTTTCTGTTGAATTGGATTTTTCGTACCCTTCATTATTGCCACTGTCTGATGATTTTTTAAAGCTATTGACTCTTCTGCGAAGCTCGCTGCCCGGCTGAGAAGATTGCAGGCCAACTATGAAAAAGCTACCAGATACTGTTTTAAAATCCTTAGAATCGACCATGAGTATACAGAAATATGACTCCGCTGTATTTAGGGTGCCGCGTGGAACCCATTGGTACATTCCATCATTTAGAATTTGAGCTATACATCCAATTAGTGCTGACTCCCAAGAGTATACACAATGAAAAGATTTTGGTAAACATACTCTCAATAGCAGATATAGAAGCGCTAGTATCCTGCACCCCTGCTGGAACAAGAAACAAAGAGACTGGGCCAGTGACTAGATCGGTAGACCAGGATATCCGAGTTGGAAGGCCGATGAAAATTTGACTCGTTGGCTGAGGGAATATGAAATCAGCCTTCACAAAGTTTGAGGCAAGAAAGACGATAGAAACGACTGAAAATTGCATTTTGTTGAAAATGATTTTATGTTACAAAAGTTCCGGGAGTGAGCGCGTTCTTGGATAATTAAACAATAAGTATGGATAGAATTATCAACGAAAGAACACATAAAGTAAAGAGTTAACAGCAACAAAAGCGAGTTACGCCACAGCTGAAAGAATGTAAGTGAGAATAAGGGTGAGAAAACAGTTTTTGACAATTGCAATTACCTATATATCATTCTGAAGAACGGCGGCGGTACGTTCGAAACTTAGAGCTCCTGAGAATCATATATGTGATAAGAGCCAGTATTGGAGGATGAGATCTGTGAAAAATGAATGGAACAATCCTTCAGGGGTCTGGAGTGTACTAAACGCGGGGTCGTTTGACAGGCTTACCTGCTTTCCAAAAGATTATGAAAATTAACTTACATTTCAATAAGTACAGTTGCCTCGACCTACCAGCGATTTCATTTCGAAACAATAAAGTATAGTAAAAAGAAAAGAAAAGAAACTGTAGAGATTTGACTCGGTTTTGAGTAAGTTGCTGCCAATATTGCAACAGAGAATGGTATTTAATCAAGTCTGATTGGGGCTATTGCTGTGTCACACACAAAACATGACCGGAACGTCCAGAACGTCTAGCAAAGGGGTAGGAATGGATGAAGTACATTACATCCACACTAAAGAATAATGATTTGCATCAGATCAAAACTGAATGAAAAATGGGACGGAAAATCAAACGATGTGTTGTGCCTCCTTGCAAGGTGGATTTCTCATCCTTGGCCTATCTCACATCTGAAACCCGAAAGAGAAGATCTCATAACTATGCCAGGATTCATCCCATCATCTTGAGACCCATGAGCTTGATTCCAACTTTAATTTCCCGGTGATAATAGACATTTCAGGATACGTAGGTTGTAGGTAGCCAGCGTCGTGGCGATGACATCACAATCTGTGGTTGCACTATTTTTCATTAGATTGATGAAACCGAAATATATATATATATATATATATATATATCAACATTGCAACCTATTTTCTTAAGTCTTGATCCTGTCTTCTCGACTGCCCCAGTGCAAATATGTCGTGAATGAAAAAGATGATTTGATTTGGTAGGATGGTGCAAAAAGTTGATATTTAGAACGGATTTTTCTTGAGGTTTCAAAGTGATATCATCAAACACTTTGGGAAAAATTGCTGCCATTTTCTGAATCATAGAAGATACAACTTCGCACCTCTGAGCTATCGATGGATTCGTGATATATATCATAACTCCATCAACGTGTAGAATAACGCCTCAGAAGCGCGTCTAGGCTGGAGAATTAGCTCGAGCTCAATCACCCAGAAAGTAGGTAGCGAAAAGATTTCATTGCCTCCGCGTGGAATAAAAGAAACTTCTTTGTTTGTCTGGATGTAGATTTCGAACAGTTATTTTGTATGTGGTCAGCACTAGATGTGCTGCGATATTGTGCATATAGCAAAGAAAACAATGCAAAGTCTGAATAAACAGTACAAAATAAGTCAAAAACTGGAATCATAACATAATAGAATTGAGCACGTGGGGATCACTCGTATCTTTATACTTGGATGTGAGTAACAAAATCCGAATGCGTTCCTTTTCCAGTCCAGATTTCATTCACGAGATGACTCGTTATGCCAGTTGTGATCACGTTCACCACAGGCAGCCTCCCCTAAGCAGGATCCTGAGAATTGCCATTCGAATCACAGAGGCTGGCTGCATTCTGTAGCGATCTGCAAAACCTAGTCTCTTCGATGTCGGCAAACCAAGTCATCAGTGTTAGAAGGTTAAAAATCAAGTCTACCATGAAGGAAGATGGTATAAGTCGTGGTTGTTGTGATAAATGGGTAGCAGGTAACATTTGAAAGCAAGTTCATCTGGAAACTCAAATCAAGGAGGATGCTGAGGTTAGCCGTGACCTCGGTCGGGATTTACCGACGCTATAATGCAGGTATACTCTGGCGGCAATCATTCACGACTTAAAACCTCAACCATGAAAATGCTTCATATCAACCTTGAGTCTCTCATGTTCCGTTTCTCTAAATGACAGACTAGGTCACCAGGGGGGAAGCTTCGTCTCATCACGAACGACGGTAATGATCACTTATCACGATACTGCTGGGAGCGACCTACCTTGGTCGCAATTACTGAATCAGATTCGATCATGATTTAGTCTCGTGAACTTTGTTTTTCGGTCTATCAACATGAGGACATGATGGGACATGATGGGACATCGGAATGCATATATATTCCCTCATGTCTCTGTTTCCCTGATTCCCCTTCAATTCATCAATCTCCCAGTAAGTCCTTTATTTAATCATCTTTGAATATGTCCGCAGAAAATACCCCTCTCTTATCTGAGCTGGCTCCTTCGCATCACCGCCATGCATCCACCTCATCCTCGACATCGTTCTTTCCACCTGCCCTCCAGAAATTTCGTCTCGCAGTCGGTATCAATGTCCCTGTAACCTCACCTGCCAATTCTCCACCTTCTGATTTCGAAAGTCTACGTGGAAATGCCTACGGTATTTACAAGTCTGTTCTTATTCAACAACGCAACTTCTCCTTGCAATATCATTTTATGGAAGGCGTATACTATATCTCTATACTCTCGCAGCTCTTCATCGGTGGCGTCCTCGCTTCATTTGGCCAACTATCCCAAATGTATCCGCAGGCAGTCCCTATATTGGGAGTTGCCAACACATGTTTAGCTGGGGTTCTAGGACTCCTGAAGAGTCAAGGATTGCCCGATCGATTACGCAAAGACGAATTTGAGATGCGAAAAGTCCAAGACTTTATCGAGGAATGCGATGCCAGGCTCGCAATTGGATGGGGAGAGACAATCAGTGAATCGGAGGTGGATGGTCTGATTAAGGAAGTTTTTGATCATTATAGTGTTGCGAGGGACACCACGGAGATGAACAGACCAACCAACTACACATATCAGTCTGACGGAGATAACACTGGAAACGGAGGAGCGATGAACCTACAGCGCAAAGTGCGTTCTGAGTCGGCAAATCGTAGGAGTTCGATCGGAGGCAGACAGAGTAATATTTCGGTCGGTGGGAATGGGAAATCTTTGCAGATATATTAGTGCGCTCTACGTCTTTGGCCCACGCTTTCATTTTCTCGCTACCCCCAAATTCTTTCTCTCTGGAGGAGTTTCAATACCCGACAGATTATCAAGATAACCAGTAAATATCAATTAATTCAAATTACCCGTTCAGACTTCGTGAGATCTTGTTCTAGAATTTTGCAACCTGCAAGTGAACTTGATGACCATTGCTATTGATCCGCGAACCACAAACAGGACAGGACCATTTCACACCCAATTTGGGCTGTTCGAGTTGCATGTAAGATGTGAGGAAGTATTGCTGTTACAAGACTGAAATGAGGCTGGTGTCACGCCTGCACGAGCCAGGACAAGATATCCGCAAATTGATCGCAGAGAAGGCAAAAAATGCTAATGAGAGCTATTTGGTGATCACAAATATTCAGTACAGGCGGTTTACATCAATCAGATTGCACACCCATGGGCCATCTAATCTGTGTTGCAATCTCGCCCGAATGATTGTTCTAGACTTGTAAACATCTGAAGCCTAAGATTGGACTGCTTGAACAGCTGATGGAATAACCCAACTATATGAGGAGCTTTTAGTCGTTGAAAGCTAGAGCTCCTATTGTTACTACGATCTAATAACTGCGAGTAGTATGAACATTATAAGGTTAAAGTTTACTCGCACGGAATACCAACATTGGAAACTCGACCAACTAAACCTCATACAGAGCAGTCAAGATATGGTCAACAAGAACAATCCGACGTGCTCTTATCCATAGGGCAACCAAAACAATCTCCATGACTACATCTTAGAGCCTCGGTGCCATGCGATATCTCATACTGCCATCCGTATATTGTTCAGGCTTGTGAACTTTGAAGGGGTAAAGGGGCTGAGGGGTAGATCTGTGCCGCATTATTCCTGCACTCCATTCCATGAATTTCAGGGACATGCATGAAGCTTATTAGCTCTTCTTATTCCCACACCCCACACTAAAAACCACCACCCCACCTAGAAACGAGCATCTGGTGCATCAGAAATTATTAATGTCGGAAATCCCCATATTTTGGGGAGAGCCCAATAATAGTCTCATTCATCATGATTATGACTACATATCATGAGAATTTCAATCTCTCAACCCTTTATCCTCGATAACGATCTCTTCAACGATGAATCCCTCGACTGGTCTTCAGTTTGCGCCTGAACACCAACAGCATCATTCTGAAGAGGAATCCTTGGGAAATCATGATGCTTCAAATGATAAGGCAGAAGATATGCCAACGAAGTCTACTTCATCACCATGTCGTCGAACTTTCCGCAGGTAGGGCTCCATCAATAGAGTTTCCTTCCTATCTATAGTTTACTAAAAAGAGATGAAGACCTCGGGCAGGTAGGGCATGCGGGGTAAGCACCATCAATACTTTAGATGGCGGTCAATACTAATGGCATTGTTGAACAGATGTGCCATTCGAGAAGAGTATGAGATCCCCCTTTGGATCTTACTTCCATGTATATCATTGACCCAAACTAGGTGCGATGCGACGCAGGATCTCACGGAATCCCAGTGAGTATAAATAATTCACCGATTTCTTTGCTTTGAATGCCTACTTCAATGCCCCGATTCCACCCTCACTTATTGTGTCTCGCCTCATGTACTCTTTTCGCTTCCCTATGCAGTATTGATACCTGATTTCCCCTCGTTTCTCCCTGGATTCTGTTCTTGAGAGGCAATACTAACTTCACGATTTTGTAGTGTACAAATTGTGAGGCATTCTTCTTGGACTGCAATATACCCCCGCGAAAGAAGAACGTGAGCAGGGGAAGGACGTCCGCCGGAAGAAGAAAGTCCGCCATTTCATTGTCAGTAATCAGACCAAGATCTTTTTGCAATTCGTCCCTCAATCTTTTGCTTTTGTAATCTTACACGAATATAGAGCCAAGCAGTGCGAACATTCCAATGATAACGGTGATGGAGAAGAGGAAAAGAGTGGCGATGCTGGGCTTCCTCAGCCAGTCGCGTCAAATCACGATGATTTTGCATCTCTGATTCTCCAAGCTGGTCACCATATCAAGCAGCAACCTGATAGTACCAAACAATATGTGAAATTAATAAGTCCACCAGTTTCTTCATCGGCAATTGAAAATCCTGGAAAAGTAGCATACTTACAAGAAAAATCATCATTGGCAATGCTCATGAGGGACTATTATGGCACATCGGACGCTGTGCACTATCCTCTACCGGAGGACGCTGCAAATCAACGCATGGCTACCAAAATGAATCCCGAAGAGATGGATATCCTTGCAAAGCGAGGTGCACTACAACTACCTCCTCGAGATTTGTGTGAGGAGTTGATCGATGCATATTTTAAATGGGTAGCTCCGGTCATTCCAATTATTAATAAATCGTGGTTCATGCAACGTTGGCACGACCTCGATAATCAGCCTCCCTTACTTCTAATGCAAGCAATCTTGTTGGCTGGATCCAGAGTTTGCACTACATCCATGCTGCTGGATGCAAATGGTTCCCCCATTCCAGCAGCAACAATATTTTATAAAAGAGCAAAAGCGCTCTACGATGCTGATTATGAAGAAGATCGGGTTGTTATAGTTCAGGCACTTATTCTTTTAGGATGGGTACGTTATTGGTTACCTTGGATTTGTGTCATTGAATAGAATACTAAATATTTGAAAATAGTACTGGGAAGAGCCAGGGGTGGTTACAAAAAATGTGTTTTATTGGAATGGACTAGCGACTACAATTGCTCAAGGATTTGGAATGCACCGAAATCCCAGTGGCTCTCGTCTCAGCCCTGCAGATAAAAGGCTCTGGAAAAGGATCTGGTGGACTTTGTACATCAGAGATCGGTCAGTAGCAACCGCTCTTGGACGCCCAGCACATATCAATTTGGAAGATTCCGATCTGGAAATGATCCGCGAAGAAGATTTTGTTGACGATCACACGGAGCCTGAGGATGAAATACAAGTGCAGTTCTTTCTCCAATATGTGAAAATATGCGAGATCATGGACGACATACTCTTCCAGCATTATTCTCTATACTCCAAGAAGCGTGGCAATAATTCTCTCATTTTACAACAGTGCGATCAAGCTTTAAATGAATGGCTTCAGAACTGTCCCAGACAGATTCGATGGAACCCTTCGAACAACAACTTCTGGGCCTCATATCTGCATTCCATATACCATACTACAAGATGCCTCTTGTATCGTGCCTACTTGCCATCAGTCAAATCGTCATCTGAACTTCACGAGAGGCTTAATATTTCACAACACCCTGCCTTTCAATCTGCAGGCGCAATTACTTCAGTCGCTGAAAATATGATTGCACGCAATGAATTGAGGCATGCTCCTCCATTTTTGTAAGAACAAATTTTGTATATTCCAGACATATTCTGGTTGCTGATGATTCTATAGGATATATTCTTTACTTTCTGCCCTTATCATGCATGTTTACGAACTACAGGTTTATCTAACGTCAACAAACGCAGATGCTCGTAAAAGAGTTTCGATTTGCATGTCTGCTCTGGACAAGCTCTCTGATGTATGGCTAGTTGCTAAAATGGTTAGAGGTCTTTTCGAAACGATTTTGAAGGCAGCAGGATTTGCAAATTATACCCTTGAGGGTACCAAACGTTTCAAGAAAATTGGTGAGCATACAGTGCCTGTATTTAGCTTCATTGAAGAGTCATTATCAGCATCACAATCAGCTAGAGAGGCCAAGGAAGACAGTCTTCCACTTACGCATTCTTTGCTAGCACACCAAAAAGCAACTCTAAATTTCGTGTCAGGGAAGGGTACAAGTATTCGAAATGAGGGTCGGACATCAATTGGTAACAATGACGGTGTTTCGCCAACGAGCATACCGTCCGCGCCACCAGCTGGACATCAATCCACTCCATCACTACATGGAGGTGAATATTTCGTCTCGGATGATTTGTGGCCTACTACCGCGATACCGAATCCAGCCCAAGAGACAGCTCAATATCAAGACCCTAATTTTCCTGGGACTATGAATTACATATCTCCAGATCAGATGGCATACTGGATACAGCCGGACTTTCAACAAATGATTCCTTCGACTCTAGATGTCGCAGACTGGTGAGTTTCAGCTGTTGGGTAGTTAGGGAGTGATTACTGACATCTGAGCAGGTTTGGTTATTTTGGCATGCGATGAAGTTCTTTCGAAGTATACTACTTCAATGTATTTTGATACTTCAAGATCTGAAATCTAGTGAAACTATTTTATGCCGCTTTTAACATGATTCTATAAATCTAGGCTTCTAGTAAGTCCAAATCTTTAGAAATATACGACTTGACTAGCATAGATAATCAGAAATTGATCCTGAATAGTCAACTTCAAATATCAAAAGAGAGGTCGTCATCTATCAGAAAATTGCGAAAGTATATTCGGTTAGCAGCCAATTGCGCAGTCAATTTTCACATCGAGCTACACAGGGGTAACCAAAACTGTATATAGTTGCGATTGGCTGGCTAAACACGTTTTATATCCTGTTTTACGGAACGTTTGTCCTTATTGGAGCGTATTCAGCCTTCACCCTCCAATATCTAGCACCTATCATTCTACTTGGTGGCACGGCAGCGACCAAATAGCTTCTTTTGGCTTTCCCCGGATTTGTGTAATGTATTCAGCATCTCGACCTATCATTGAGTCATGTTCAGCCTCCTCTAGCTTGACATTCGCAGATGGTTTCCCCATCTATATTTGAATTCTACCGATTAGAGTATATGCAATCTCATTACAAAATTCGCGACGTTTGACAGCGGCTGGAGAACAATGGTTAGAGGCGCTAAATTTTGTCTATGGATCGCGAAAGGCTGCACACATGATGGCGCAAATTCAGGTCACTATTTTCTGATGTCTAATCCCGAAGAAAGAGACGGCAGAGTTGCAGTGGGTTGCATGCCGAGCATTCAGAATTACGAATGATCAAATGTTAACTTTCTTGAGTGGGAGAATAAATCAGAACGACCGCGGAAAAAGTCTTGAGATCCCATGATCTGAATTCTACAGCTTGGTAGAATTAAAGCATGCCTCGGTCGATTGGGCTTTCGTTCAAGCAAACTGATTTTCGGAGTATTATGTCTAATGACAATCTGCGTCCAGCCTTATCATTCCAGTCTAGTCTATCAGATCCCGTATTGTGGGTAAAAGCCGCATGCGAGATGCTGCAACTTATATAAACCAATCATTTACATAATCACTCAAGTTGTTTTGCACCATCTGATATTCTACTTTGTTGTTCATTTGAAGTTTTTTACATGACAACAAATACCTCGGCATGACATTGCAGAGTGGTTAGACGTTTCATACTGTGCTCAGATTATTGCATAGTCATCATTGTATATGCTTCTTTTACTTCTATCATGGACACTATCGTTGAAGATGCGATTGGCTTAGGGATCATGTTTCAAGAAACAATTTACTCCACTGGCTTTCCGATTGAGAATTTTTGGAATCTAAACGATAGATCGTAGCTTAGATCAGACAAAATCCCATTTATATGAGATGGAAGGAGTAACGTTATTTTGGGAAACTACAATCTATGATCGCATTCCATCTTTGAACCTTACCAGTGGATCATGATCTACATGCAAGTGTCATGGCGTGGAGGCAGTCATAGGGGAAAATTGTGGGGAAACCTTGTCATAATGACATTGACTAATGTGAAAAAAACGTCTTCATTTTGGTTTTGTTTGCGAAATTCATCCTCCTCCTTAATGTTCTTCGTATTGTTTCTCTTTCCTCAAGTTTATGATGTATCTCTTGGAGAACAACAAGGCGCCGAGGTATTTTCATATCCATCAATGCAATCTCAATAAACCCCTTGGCTGACAGTTCAGATGACGATCGTAAAGAGGGGGGGGCAGTTTTTGTATTCATCTGGAATGATATTGGAAATCGAAGATTAGATGAGAATACCCCGCATTCTTGGCTTGCATCTACGAGGTGTAGACATAGAGCACTAACTCCCCGCATTGCAGATTCCAAGAACACCTCGGGGCGACATCAGGACAGTTACATCTCCATTTTGTGTATCTTCTCCTGCTAGAAGTCATATAAACATATTTTTAGCAGAAAACAAAGCAATATGGTGGAGTATTTGGTACCCACTTGGTACAACGGGAGAGTGTCTCTTCGCAGAAGGAATATTCAGCGGGAAGACCCGCTTTTTACCCCTTCATATATTCTAGACGAATACCTCGGGAATTTCAAGTCAGTAAGTGATGAGTTTGTTTTTCCTTCCTCGTTTAATCGCTAGCTTATGGTTATCGGTGCGATTTTTTGATGTAATGTGAGCTTAGTTGATGGGATGAGGCAGGCGAAACATACCAAGGAAGTGTAAATATATATGAGCCTTGAATATCCTCTGATTTTTGTATATCAGTTTCATCTCATCTCATCTCATCTCATCTCTTTTCTTCTGATTCTTCATCTCACAGACTCACTGTGACTTCTCTCCCAAACACACCCAGCTTCATTCACCTACTCGCCCACAACACACCACTCAAAATGCATTCACCACTCGTCCTACTTTCTCTCCTCTCAATCTTCTCCAATTCCCTCATCAATGCAAACCCTCTACCTCTTCCCATCCCCGAAACCTCTGCCGTAAACGCAACCGCAGCCTGCACCGACATCCGCATCATCACTGCGCGCGCATCCACTGAATTACCTGGCGAAGGTATCATCGGTTCTCTAGCTTCAGCCATCCAACTCGCTACTAGTAAATCCGTCACGCGAACTTCGGTTTCTTATCCGGCTCTGCTGGCACCCTATGCTCCCAGTGTCGCAAGTGGTGTTGCAGCTATGAAGGCGGATATTATTGCCGCGGTTGATGCCTGCCCGTCGCAAAAAATTGTTCTTTTGGGGTATTCTCAGGGTGGTGGGTTTCTTCGAATTATGAATTATATTGTTTATGTAATGCAATGCTAATTGTTTGGTAAATGTATAGCGGAATGTATCAGTGATACGCTTGGAGGTGGAGGCGGTGGAATCTTGGGAACGAAAACTCCGGCGATTGACTCGGCGTATGGTTCGCATGTTAAAGCGACTGTGATGGTATATACATTTCTCTTTTAGTCCCTCTCTCCCCCTTCTCCTTCTTGTCCTCCGTTCTCCTCCCACAATCCACACCCCTATCACATAACATCTAACAACCCCCACAAATAGATGGGCGATCCTCGCTACATGGTCAACCAACAATCCTTCCACGTAGGAACCTGTTTCCAAAACGGACTCTTTCCCCGCTCCAGCGATCAATCGCTCACAGCCTACTCGAGTATCGTGAAATCGTACTGCGATTTTGGGGATCCGTTTTGTTGCTCTGGGTTGGATACTTTGGCTCATTTGACGTATACGGCGAAGTATCAGTCGCTGGCTTTGGCGTTTGTTTTGAAGAAGATTGCTTAGAGAAGGGGGGGTTGAGGAGGGGGTGACTAGGGGATTGGGAGAAGTTGTGGGGGTGGGTAATAGGTAGAAGATAGGGGGTGAGAGTTATAGTGGAGGTACTGGGGTGAGATGAGGTGGGGTGGGGTGGAAGGAAGAAAATGGTGAAGTACCCAAAGAGTGGTCCGCTTTATGCTTCTCTTTATATATATTTTTTTCTCGTCTCTGTATCTACCTTTTTTTTCTATGATGATGGATTTGCAGTGGGGGGAGTAGCATTCAACATGCTAGTTATGGAAATCTTTCTTCCATCTTTAAAACTTCTGAATTTGATGTATGTGCGTGTGAAACGGAATCTCGTAGTGGTGATACTTCGCGAATCATGCACCTATCCACTGAGGTCTCATCTATTCACTTGTGATGTTCAGAGCTGGTATATCTCGAAGTTGGTCTATTAAAGCTTCAAGCTGGTAGAGACACAATTTCACTTTCAGAGGCAACAAAAATGAAAGCTATGAAACCTTAGCTTGAGTATTCAATTCTAGAATTTAACCTCGCAAATGTTTTTCCATTACTTTTCAAATGAAACTTGTCCTACAAGAAAGTTCTGTGTAGTATGGTGAGCGTTCCAAGATCTATGTCATATCATCATCCCAAAATTATGAATTTCCAAAACCATCCCAGATTTCTCCCAATGGAAAAGACATTCCAAGGAGAAAGGGCAAGATTGTGGTGAAGGACCTGCTCAATACATCACAATCTTCGATTTTTAAAATCTTAACCTAAACTCAGAAAATAAATGGTTTCCCATGGAAATGCGTTGACCGAAAAAAGACTAGGAGGATATGATGAAGGAGGACCACCCGAGTTGGGGTATCGATCCCAAGCCTCTATTCTTGAGTTTTTCTCAGCTACTGTCCCTCAAAATGGCCAAACACCCATATGATATGCCCTTTAAAAAAAGAGTCGAGCATTGAAGATGGAAAACAAAAGGAATCTACAAGTAAGCAACAGGATGAATTCAGTCGCGACGAGTAGTCTATCACAACATCCCTTCAATTCCACTCCGTACCCAATTTCTTACACGGCTCGCTGTAAAGAGAGCCATTCCTTACAATAAACAAAGGTGTTCCTCTCTCCCGATCCACAACCACCGTATCCGACCAGTCGGGGGCCGAGCCCAAGAATCTCTCTTCCACGCTTGAATACTCACTCTTTTCCCTGCCGATTTGTCGTGCAGAACCTTTCACATGCCGAACATTTTTGAATTCGATGAAGCGCCAGGCCTTGCTGCCTTTGTAACTGCAGCGTACCTCGAGTCGAACGGTGCCGATACCAATGGCTTCTTCGCTGGCGGCGTTGAACCAATCGTCGGGAGAGATGGGCTTGTAGGAGAGGAAATCGGATTGCATGGGGGTGGAATAGAAGCGTTTGGGGGGAATGAATGCCCAGTGTGTGAGAGGGTCTGGTATCAAGGGTTTACTGGGTTTGCTTTCCATGATGAAGATGCTTGGGATTTGACGGATAGAGTTCTTAGTGGATTTTGTGGGTGACAATATCTCGAAACAGAGTCTTATTAAAGCACAAAACCGGTAGTGAGAAGTTTCTTGATGCGTTCAACTATGTTGATTGAGATTTGACACCCTTTAAAGAAATAAGCCAAGCGTCAAAACATACAACTTAAAAGAAGAAGAAGAATTGCTTTACCGCTTGATCGAAATTTGACAGAATAATTCTGAGTGAGACGTTCAGAGGTAGTGATCAAAAGAGATAAAAACAAGGACTAGACCGTGACGTTGTGCTGTGTCGGAGGGATGGAAGAAGAGGAAGGGGGAGGGCAGGAGAAAGACTGCTTTAAATGGTAGAAATTTTCTAGCTTCTCAATTCAATGGCTAGTGAATGATTTGGAAAATAGAAGATGAGAAGAAACTTGCAAGATGAGGCGTAATTGCTAGATGCCTAGGTATTAAGCCCCAAAATAGATATTTTCATTCGTTGTAATTTACATTATCAAAGTTTTCTTGAACTAGCTACCGAGCAATATTCCGAGTAGCTAGTCTAACTTCTCACTCAAGATAAATGCAGGTGACCTTAGTTCGTCTTAATCAATCTTGGATTCAAGTGAATATCCATATAATGACAGCATTAGCAGGCAGAAGAGCAGGCATGTCAATATACGACAAGAAACACCAATGGTAGAATTTCTTCAACGTTCTCCCGCATGCACTGAGTTTTGAAAAACTGTACAATTCCCCATCTCAATGTAGCACCGAGGAAAGATCAGATGTCAGTCTTCATTCTCTATTCTCTGGTTTCAGCCTCTAGGCTACTTCAAGCAGAAATTCGAGGATTGTCGGATAGCCGAGTTCCATATTGAATCCTCCGGAGTATGAGGCATCATACAAGCTTCGTATATCTCGTGCTCGATGCAGGAAATAATGATATGGATGGAATTAATCGATACGTATTCTACAGCTGTTTCCTGGTTCTGAAACATCTTTACAGGCGCTGTGAATATATGAGCATGAAAATGGATGTTCATTAAGGAGTGACTTGCCAAGAGCTTCAACATTGTAGAACACGCTATTGCAAGTTTCTTTCCTTTCCCTAGCTTTCTATGCAACTCTTAATTCCAATATCAATACTATGGGCATTCGTTTACTTTGCCGACTACTGGATTCTATACACATACAATGTATTCTAAACCCTTCGATCAAAGCAACAAATCTCAGGGACTACAAGAGTTCAATGAGAAAACCCTGTTTTGTGCACATCTTGGATGAGAGATGCGAAAGAACTGATCAATAAATTAAAGACTCGAGTAAGCTTAAGTTTAATTACAAATAAGCATGGCGTAGAAAGTATTAGAGCTTTGCCCAAATTGTAAGATTGGATGAAATTGAAAGATCAAGGAGAATGTGTGACATCGAGTTTCTATTTAACAGCAACTAAGCGGTATATCTACTGATGGGCGTGCTCTCGTCAACATCTGATGAACCCAAAAGCATTCTTCTCAGACCTGATAATGAGTTATTGATGGAATATTGAATATTCATTATCCTTTAGTCGAATGCCATCATTTGAAACAACCGCAGGGAGGTAGAAACCTAAATAAAGCTCGACTTCTCTGATGAGCCAGTGGCTTCAACGATGAATTCGCCCTCGCACTTCGTGACAGAATTCAAATATCTCCTTCCTTGGAAAGTCATACAAATCAACTCTCTGGATTTCATTCCTAATCGCCACCTCAATGTACACCATTCAATAACGTTTCACCCGCAGCACCATTCCCCCTCTCCCCATCATCCTCCAAAATCCAATCCCTCACCGCCCCTTTCCAATCACTAACTCTCCCATCTCCCACCTTCACACTAACAACCCTAACCTCCTCCCCTTCCACAAACACTCTCCCCCCATCTCCCTCTCCAGCCGTAACTCCCTCCTCCCCAAGAAACACACAATTCTCCAAATGTCTCTCCCTCAACCATTTTTCTTCCTCTCCTCCTCTCTCAACTATCCTCGCTTCTCCATTAATCGTCGCGCTAATACTACTAATCGCACTCGTATTCAACCCAATCAACATTTCCGCCAAACTGCTTCTTCCCCCCGCATTCCGCGGCGGACTCGTAGCTCTGTTTCCTGTAGGCGGCCGATGCGATACCCAATCGTGGACTAGTAATGAGACTTGTGGATTTTCGAGAAGATTGTGGGTTTTTTTCGAAGAGGGATTTGTTGTCATTATGATGGTGGGAAAGGGAGACCAAGGGGTGCTGGGCAGATAGGTATAGTTCATGAGAGAGACGTGAGGACGGAGAGATGTGCATGTTGCGAGATGAAGCTATGGATTATATAGTATCAGTATGTGCTTCTGAAGAAGATGTAAGTGAGAAAGGTACAGACGTACAAATCTAGCATTTTCTAAACATTGAACTACTTCCGATGGTAAGGTCCTTGAGACTTGAAGATTGGTGGCGCCAGCTGAGGCTTCGTAATTCAAAGGAGCTTCTGTCATGATTTCGTTGTGTCAATGTTATTTTGGAGATGTAAGTTGAAGTTAAATAATTGTGAGAATTTCAAGAAAAGTCGAAACTGACGAGTACCGATGGGAGAGAAGCTTGAAATGAAAGAGGAGATCGGACATGGCGGGGGCATTTACCTGATCTGATCTTATTGATGATGTCTGATTATGTAATTAATCTTCGATAAGCTCTACGATAAGTTAATCTTCATCTCCAACTGATTGCAACATTTACTAATTACAGTAATGTCGAAAGCAATGGAATTTTACAACTTCATTCACGTATTCCCAAGCTCATGAAACGGTTAGAGGAAGTATTCTCTATTGTTGCCATAGCTATGTGTACCTTTATCAATGTAGGTACAGAGTAGAAAGGATAAGATATGAGCTTACTTCCAGCCAATTTGGAAAAGCTCTTAACCTTATCTAATCTCCTCTACAACATTTCTTTCTTTCTTGTCAAAACTTCACGTTGCTCTTTTCTTTTGCATTGAAACGCCTGATTGCAGGATACACTGTCGCGTTCATTTTCTCTAATGCTCCTCTCCATTTTCATACAAATCTCCTTTCTTTCCTCATGATTATCAAACCATGATTCCTCTACCCCCTCCCTCAGTCCGGAGCAATTTCATCCGCCACATTCATCTCAGCGGCGTCACCCCCTTTCACATTGCTCAAACTATTCAATCTACCCTCGTATCCAGATTGCTCGAATATAAGAAGGGTATGCCTACTCGGACATCACATTCCTCCTCCTATTCAACCATAATACTAATCCAGCGCAGAAACCTCAGCACATCAACACCCCGACCCCAAACCACCCGCCCCAATCCCCACAGTCCTCACATTCCAACCCACCCCCGTCTACACCATCGGACGGCGCGAGCTACAAACCCCTCTCTCAGATGCCCTCCTCAAATCTCTTCGCGAGCCCTTAATTCCCCGTTCAACCACCCATCTCCCCACCATCCGCCCACCATTCACCCCCTCCCACAAAAACGAACAAATACCCGACGTAGTGCAAACCCCGCGCGGCGGACTTATCACATTCCACGGTCCAGGCCAACTAGTCATCTATCCCATCATCGACCTACTCACCTTCCGCAACTTCGGCGCAAAATGCTACGTCAACCTCCTCGAAGAATCCACCATCCGACTTCTCCACAAATTGGGCCTCACGATCCTAGGAAGAACAGACAATCCAGGAGTCTGGTTGAACGAGCACGAAAAAATCGCAAGTCTCGGTGTCCACCTACGGAGAAACGTGAGTAGTTACGGCGTAGGACTCAACATGATCATGGAACGAGGCTGGTGGGATCGCATCACGGCCTGCGGGCTGGAAGGGAAAAAAATCGTAGGAATCGATGAACAAATATTCGATTTAGAAAAAAGGGGTTTCGCAAACCAGCAAGATAACTGGAGCTCCTCATATAAAGCTTTGCTACGAAATGGAGCCGCGGTGGCCCGAACATGGGTCGACGAATTTGCCGGCGAACTAGGACGTCTGGACCGCGGGGAGAAATACAAGGAGAGTAGATCCGAGAGTGAAAATGATGTCATATCTACACTGGATGAAAGTAGTAAGTCTGAAAATGTAAATGCGACGCATTGGACGGGATGGGAAGATATGCCCGAATCGGTGAAGGAATTGATTCCGCTTGATATACGCGGAGGAAATGAATTGAATGTTAGTACGGGCGGTGGATATGTGGAATATCGTCCGTGGAGGGAGTAGGAAAAACTATAAATAACTACTATACATGAGTTTTCCTTTTGCTTGTAAGATGTTTACGAGGAAAACAATTAGGGTGTAGTAGATGAAAATGAGTCAAAATGAAAAATAGTTGAATACCTAAAATCTTTATAGGACAGTAGTATTGTTTTAAGTATCTATAAGATTAAAAGGAAAGCAAGCGAGAACTTAAGTAGATGTATATCATATATATCTATCTATCTATTATCTATTTATCTATCTCCCTGAGTACTTAAAACGTGAATAGAATAAATAAAATAGTATTAATCTAGAAATAAGTTAGGAATATCTATCTATCTAGTATTTAATTTCTATAAGATTAAATAAGAAGTAAGTAAGTAAACGTATAAGTAAGCGAGGAAGTAAGTAAGCGAGTAAGTAAGAGTCTATTTAGTAGTCGAATTAATTCTAGTATATATAATATCTAAAGGATAGTATTTTAAATATTATTACTCTTATGTTTAGTATATAGTATTTAAAAACTACTGGTCAAATACTAGTATTTATCGTCATGTAAAATTTTCATATACTATGTACTAGAAAGAGTAGCTTTTCATATATAATAATTATATATAGCTGTTCGTCGGTTTTAAAAATCACATCAAAAACAGACATTTTGTCCTATTTATAATTATAAAAAAGAAATATTTGAAATCATTAAATTTAATTAAAATTTTGAATATGATTTTATTTTTTTATAATAAAGAATTTATTATTTAAATTTCTATCATTTTAAAATAAATATATACTAATATTTATAAGATTGAATTAATATCAAAAGAAAAGTTCTTGATTTTCGCTTATTTGATTAGTAAATTTTAATATTTTTAATCTCTATTAACTTTCTATATATATTTTATAATGAATAAAAATCTTAAAAATAAATCAAATTTTTTTTCTTGAATTTTAAATAAAATCGAATATATTGATATAAAATTTATTAATATATATTATGTTTATTTAATAAAATACAAATGATTTATATGAGTTTTAGTATAATTTTAATGTTCGGCAAATAGCTGTACTTTAGTACTATAGAAAAACTTGACTATATTTGTTGAGTAGACTTATTAAGGTGTGTATATATAATATGTATGAGTAAAAGGATTGTTTATTTCTATTTACTCTTTTTGTATAAAGAGGAAATTACTATATCTATATATGTACACTACCTCTACTTATACACTTCGTATATATATAAGGTAAAGCGTAACATGTAATATTATATTGTTAGTCACGTGTTCCGACAATATTGAACTGGGATATACCGGAAACTTAAATATATCGGACTTTTTTTAATTTTATTTTTAAAAATTTATATAAAAATATTGGAATTTTGATGAAAATTAATATACCGAACTAAATTAACTAAATTCCAGTATAAAATTTAAAAATCAATCTGACTAAATAAACTATATTTTGAATAAGTAAGCTTGAAAGGTTATTATCACATAATATTTTCTCGAAAATATTAGAATTTAGAATTGAAATCGGATATAAATTTTGATTAGAAAGCTTAAGCCATCATTTTTTATACCGAAATCTTCTTTATACTAGATTTCATTAATCGAAAATTTCAATCCGGCATAACCAAGTTCTTCTATGTATACATCATTCAAAATCTCAACTCTAGAGAAGAATTTCCATTTTTAATCGAGAACTAGAACGAAAAGAGCAAGGAAGGAATAATAATAACTACAAATGAAGGGGGATAATCGAGTAAATCAATAACGAGCCTCAACTCATTAAAGTCCATCTTTATTCATTCACACAAACACGATACAACCTATTACTTTACAAGTCTTTTCATTTATTAATAATGAAACAACTAACATTAAGGTATTATTACAACCACCGACAAAAAGGTGATAAAGAAAGAAAGAAATAAACTCCCCTGTCATCCACACATCCACTATTATTATCGCTCACGGGAATCTTCACGAGATCCCCTGACCCCGTCACAGCCGCTAATACGGATTTCCAATCATTCATGAGTTGTATAAATCCAACCGAGAGGTAATCGTAGATATCGATTAATCATTACTCATTCGTATCCAATCCGGTCCCAATCTTGCAATCCAAGTCGGTCGACGTCGTGCTAGATGTCACAATAGTATGAGCATCTGTCTCATCAAGAATGAAGATACACATTTAAGCATAATCATCCTTGACGACCCGACGCTGACTTTCATTCCTTGTGAACGAGCTATCATCTCCACGAGCAGCACGTCTCTCGCGTTGATTGCGGTAGAATGAAAACATACCACCGCCACCAGTAGTACCTGCTGCTTCAATTGGAGCATCACGAACAGCGGATGGCTGACTATCTCTGCGACGTTCTCGGCGACGTCCACCTACGATTCCTCCAAGACAAAGGCAAAGAGCAGAAATTGCTAAGCATGCCCATGCTGCCCAAGTGAAACCGAATGCATAACGGCCTAGACTCGCATCCATACCGGAGCGACGGAACTGGTTGCGGGCTCTCACAAATTCGGCACTGCAAACTTATCAGACGTGATGAATGATTTGATGATGACAAAAGTCAACTTACGTCATTAATGAAGCTCCCAGGGAGAACCAAAAGAGAGATACCATTGACAAAACAGACCCGGAAAAGGATGCTACTCTACCGGTCGCTGCGAAGAGCGACGCAAAGAACGCGAGGACTGCGAATAAGAGTCCCATGAGATAAAACACCCATCCAAATCTCCACATATAGAAGTATGAGAAGCTAGTGGTGGATTTTCCGTGCGAGCTATATGATATTAGTTTCTGTCGCAAATTCTTGGATTGAGCACAACTTACCCAAGAAGACTGGAAGGAGCACCAGAACCACCTCCAACCCAGGCATAACCGAAAGGCAGAGCTGGTACTGGTTTACCACAATCGGTATTTCCAGCTCCACAGACTTTGAAGTAATTCCATTGTGACACTGGTCTAGCTCCGGCAATACTTGAAGTATCGGCTGTAAGAAATTGTGTTTTGTCCAAAGGAGTGGTGCCTGTTATGCCACCCAATATCACAAAGAACATGAACATAATCGAAGCACCAAGGAGGACCAAGGACACCAAGGCCATGATGCCACCTGAAATTGATCAATGATTAGCTACTTTTCCTGAGAAGATTGGTTGGTGTGACCAAGGATCTTAGAGATAGTGATGAAAACTTACGCGCCGCCATGATGGAAGAAGCGAATTAATTGAAAGATATTAAGAGTAGATTCTTGATTGTAGCAAGAGGAATGCAATGCAATTGTGAAGAATGATGGGAAACTATACCAAATGCCATGTTAGCCTCTCACATTCTCCATTCTAGCCTATCGTACAAATGCCCAGTAAGGACAAATCTCCGTTGTCGTACCAGTGATACCTTGCACATGGGTATCATTTATGGCAGATTCGCAGTACAATCCATTCGTTGAAAGGAGAGGATTTAACTTACTCCCGATGAAGGGTATCAAAATTGAAGAAGACGTGTGAGATGGTACAGAAAGATGGATGAATGTATTGAGGAAATATCGAATGATTGATTGAAAAGAAAGGAAAGGAAAGGAAAAAATAGAAAGACAAATCAACGGAAAGCTTTTAATAATTGAAATCTAAGTAGACCAAGTATATTTCATGTGCTAAAGGTTACTCGAGGAAGAACCAAACCAAGTGGAGGTGGGGAGCGGGCGGCAGGTACGGCGATGACGATAGTAAGTTAGCTTCCACTAGTAAATTTTGGGGTAAGTGAGTTTGCGACTTGAAAGTTGACTACTTTTTGACTTGATGTACGAAGTGATTGATGATGACCAAGAACTTAGTCAGTGAAATTTGAAAGGAAAAGCACTATGAGGTCGAAGTCTTAGTTGAGGGTGGAGGTGGAGGTGGAGGTGAAGATGGATGTGGAGGTTAATGATGATGGCAGTGATGTGATATAATGTGTGTGTGTGTGTGTGTGTGTGTGTGTATGTATATGTATGTGTATGTGTATGTACATGTGTATGTGTATGTGAGTGTATATGTGTATATCTATAATTCGTATATTCAAATATTTAGCTAGACATTGAGCTTGGCTGTTTCTTATTATTCATTGATCTTTTCACTCCATACAGGTTAGGGTTTCTTTCTTATTTCTTTCTTATTTCTTTCTTATTTCTTTCTTTGTCAATTCACGTGCCGTCACTGCCGTGCTTTCACATACAAATGAATCCAAGTATCAAGCACTGAAAACAAACGTGGAAAGTGCTTTGACATTGATTACCTATGCAATTTCCCGATGAAGCTGTTGATATTTGGATATTTGGATGATGTGGCTGAGGGACTTTATCGATCATACGTCATACTGGAGTTACTAGGTACGTGCTAGTTACTCTGCTAGGTAATTATGCCACTGCACTGATCGACTTTTACGAAGATCCACGATCCACTCAACCGATCTAGGGTGAAAGAAGTAAAAGAGTGAAGAGTGATGAGTGAAGGGTAAAGAGTGGAGAGTGAAGAAGACTGAAGACTGAAGACTGAAGTAAGAAGTAAGAAGAAGCTTTGACTCTATTTTTTATTCCTCGGTCCCTTGTTGACAGTGACAGTGATGGTGATGGTGATGGTGACGGCTATGAATCTTTTCATTCTTCCACCAAGTTTTGACCAACAAAGAATGATTCGGTGGAAACTTTAAAAGGAGTAAATATCTTGACAATAACTTGATGACAATATGTTCCCTACACCTACATCAAATCGTTCATCTGATAACTTGATTTTCCTCCGAATTAATCAAGTTATTGCGACTTTACGATGATTCGATGATAGAAATTACCCCTCCTCTTGGCAATGGGAGGTCCTTTTCATTCTAGACTGTCGTGATTATCTCATACCCCTCGATGGAGTGGTGTGATAGACCGGAAACGTGACTATCACGAGTGCTACTATGGAAGTATTATTAGTGAGCGGAACCGTTTGCAGCCGGACCATAATGAGAAGGGTAAGAAAGGTTCCTTATCATAGCTTCCTTCGATCCCCGCTTGCTTAATTACTTATTAGTTATATGCCCAGCACGTGCCCAGCTATGAATGCAAATACTCGCACGTGTACTAACATGCCTCGTACCCAGTATATACATAACATAAATTACTCAGCACAATACTGGGACACTGCTTGTCTACGAATATATAATCCTTGTTTGATTGGTCTTTCCATAACTTTATCATCATATATGATATGATATAATATAATATAACATCACCTTCCCGATTTCAGGAAATCTACGATCATCACGAGTTTAAGATATATCATCAACGGTAGGTATGTAAAGGGAAGTGATTTAATATCAATCCGACAAGTGATCATAACCTTACTAGTCTTATTAATCATCGCGATGTTAGGAATCATTTCACCCTATGGAGAAAAGTAAGTCGAGTACTCGACTTTCTGACCACTCCTGTTTTAGATCATCTTTCACTATCAAAATTAGCAAAAAAACTTTTTTATTTATGAATAAAATTTATTGAAAATATATATATATATAATTCAGATTATTTTTAGTCTATAGTGAAAATTTCAGATTTTTAAGGGTTTTTTTTAATGGAGATTTGAAGCTTTAAAATAGCGATTTTTTAATTCATATCATATATAAATTTTACTTTTTTCAAAAGTCTTTAATAAATTTTCAATCAAATTACTGAAAATAAATCATTAATTTTTATTCTAAATTTTTATTATAAATAATTTAGGAGATTTAAAAAAAATTAGAAAATTTTCAATTAATAAGTATTTATAAAAGTATTTTCGAAATTATAGAGATTTTTTTTTCCTTATTTAGATTACATCTTTATAACTATTAAATTCCTTTAATTATTTTTTTTATTTTCTATATAAATTTAAGTTTCAAACCTTTAGAAAAGTAATTAGTTTCTTTTTATCATTTATAATTACAAAGTTATTAAAGATTTAAAACTGATTTGAAATTTATATATAATTCTTAATGTAGTTTATTCACTAGTATATGTATTATATTAATGTATATACTACTTTAAAAAAATATTAAAATCAAGCTTTTCTTATTATTTTTATTTTAATGATTAATCATTATTTCTTTTTAGAAAAAAGAATATTTAATAATAATAAAAAATTAAATATTCTTATGATATTCTAAACAAAAGTCAGATTGATTATGATTTTCATTATTAAAAAATTCCTTTTATAATAACTATTATGTTTAGTCGAAATTTCAATTTATTATTAGGAATTTATAATATTTATATCTTTAAATATTATATATTTAATTCTTAAAAAACTCTATCTATAAATAAAGAAAGTATATAATTACGTATAAATAAATTTTTATATAAAAAGAGTAATATACATATTAATATAATATACGAACTAAGAGACTATGTTATATAAATTAAAGAATCGATATTTTGAAGCTTCAAATCTCTGTTTAGAAAAATCCTGAAAATCTGAAACTTTTAATATAGATTAAAAATGATTTGAATTATATATATATAAGTTTTTAATAAATTATATTATATTTTGATAAAGATATTAATAAGCTGAAAAAGCACTTTTTGGTGTAAAAGGGTGGTTCAAAACAAGGGTGGTCAGAAAGTCGGGTATCCGACTTAAAGGTAGTCATAACATCGAGCGCAGCGAGGACTGGGGGTCTGGGGGCTTGCCCCCATCAAAGAGATATATATCATAATTGAGGCGAAATCATTTATTCTACTCGTAATAAGAAAGGTATCTTTTCAATTTCAACAGTGAAGATTGAAACAATTTCAATGGCAGAATGAGTAGCCCAAGGCGGTGAACATGAGTGGAGGGAGTATGATATGAGTTGTTGAGGAGGACAACACCTTACGTATGTTCAACTCTCACTTCTCACCTTTATACTATTCACAAGTGTACATAAAGATCTCCTATTTGACTATTAGGTAAGTTCTATCTCAATCTGATATCTTCAGCAATATACGAATGATTACAAGAAAAGATAACTATGTTAATATGTGCACGCAATAGAAAGGAATAGCCAAGCACCTGACAATAAATCTACACGGGTTTTTCTACTCTGTTCAATTCAAATATATCTTCATATGGAGTGGTTCTCATCATGATATACCAACTTATCTCCTTGAAGAAGAATCTGAAGAAAATAGTCCAGCACACAAAAGCCTTTTCGAAAGAAATACCCAAAAGATTCTATTGATGAGATCGTCAATATTCGCACTCTGCATATTATCATTCAATGAAGCATTAAAGAGTATCGGATCCGAATCAAACCATCTATCCAGTCAACCTACATGCTTCCCAAGACAGTCATTATTCAAAAATGAGCAACGTTACAAACGCTCGGCGCACAAAGGGGAAAAATCAGATTGATGCAGGAACTATCCAATATCCTACCACATGATCCTACTTTGCATCTCCGAAGCAATCCTCAAGGATACGGATCATCCCCAAACCCCTACAGCATCCGAATTCCAACATAACCACCTCGGTCCGTTCCGAACGGGAAAACTACATCCCACCTATAAACCATCTCGATCCCGACCTCCCATCCTTCATCATTCGATAACCGAGTCCCTGGGACACAATCCGGGTCTTGCATCTTCCGGGGTAAGATATCAGGAAGGTAAATTGAAGGATTTAATGATGACATACTCTTTTGGAAGTATCTCCGAGACTTATGCATCGAATTGATACTAATCGAGTAAGTGTCGGGGAGTCTTCAATGCCACACATACTGGATGGGGAGATTGTGTGTAACGGTATCATGAATAGCCGAGTGTGGATTGGTGTACCAGGTAGGTAGGGTTATATAAACCTTGCGGCAGGAGATCGACAAATTGTGATGAATCCACTTGGATCAAAGGATTCTTAGGGCTAGATTTTAACTGTTTTTATGAATGGATGGATGGATGGATGGAAGGGATATAATTTTGTGATGGGTTTATTTTTCGGTTAGAATCTTCAAGGAAGTTTCCCTGGAATGGAATGGTCGAGCTTTCTGCAAATATGTCTTTTCCGAGATGCCGGATGTGGATTTTTTGAGTCTTTACTTTCATGTGAAATTTCTCAAGGGCTGAAAGTTGGAAGATTGAGGAATTGAGTATGGATCTTGAGAGAATTGAGTAAATTTAATCGCTCGAATGAATTTAATCTCTCAAGTACATTTGATATCTCACGCGAATTTTGTCTCTCAAGCGAGTTTAAAATCTCAAGTGAATTTCTATTCTCAAGTAGAACCTAAACATTTCTGGTGATAGTTGAGCGTCTCAACAAAGTTCTGCTTATTTGATATCATACCTCGTATTTTATGTTCAATTCGTACCCGAGTAGTTGAGTTGTATCTTGAAAACATGACACATTATCAAATAGTATTTATCATCTCTCCCCAGCGGATGATATCGATCAGAGATATAAATGTATGTGAACACATGACAGAAAATAATGGTAAATCTATCTCAATATGTGAATGTCCAAGAATAATTATTTCGATCCTTCTGATTGTTCGATCTCTGATAAACTTTTTTATTGAGTATTTTGTATTAGTAATAAGTCGGGTACCCTACTTTCGGGCCACCCCCCTTTTGGGTCACTTTTTACACCAAAAATGGAATTTTTAATTTTCTTATTTATGAATAGAATTTATTGAAAACTTATATATATAATTTAGATTATTTTTAGTTTACCTTGAAAATTTCAGATTTTTAGGAATTTTCTGTATTGAGATCTAGAGCTTCAAAATATCGATTTTTAAATTTGTATAGGAATTACATACAAATTTGAAACTTTTATAAAATCTTTAATAACTTTTTAATAAAAATTGTTAAAAATAAATTATAAAATTCTATTATAAATTTACAATATATTGATTTGAAAGGATTTAGAAAAAAAAGGAAAATTTCCTATAAATAGGTATTTAAAAGAATACCTTTAAAAATTATAGGGATTATTTGTTACGGAGGTACCCGCACCGCAACATGGATTATAAGATAAACCTAAGGCCTTGGTATTGGGACCTACGGAAACAGCGCTGTAGGGACAATCGGCTAGAGAGCACAGGTTAGATAAGCGGTAGCATCATTATAGATCACGGGATGGACATCACGTGATCAGGAAACCGACTTGTCGAAATCGGCTTTACGGTAATCGACTTGTCGATTCATGAGGTACGAAGATCTATATAAGGGAATGAGTTTCATTATAATGTAGAGCTTCGTGCTCAAGAACAATCATTAGTTTCATTACTATAGTTACGAGAATTGCAACCAGTTACAACCTTATTGAATTCCTACTTGAAGTCTAGTCTAAACCACCTCGAGAGATCTCTAGACACTTCCACGTGACCCTAGAGGCAGCTCCCGTAACATTATTTATACTATTTCAAACTTATTATATATTGTATCTTTATATTTATTAATTTTTTTAAAAAAAATTTAAATTTTTATATAGATTTAAATTCAAAATTTTCAAAAAGATATATAAATTTCTTTTAATAATTATTATTAAAAAGTTATTAAAGATTTTATAAAAGTTTCAAATTTGTATGTAATTCCTATACAAATTAAAAAATCGATATTTTAAAGCTTTAGATTTCAATACAAAGAATTCCTAAAAATTTCAAAATTTCAGAATAAGTTTAAAATGGCTTAATTTATATATATTCAAATTTTTATTAAATTAGATTATATATTGATAGAGATATTAATAGGCTAAAAAAGCGATTTTTGGTGTAAAAGAGTGGTTCAAAACAGGGGTGGCCCGAAAGTAGGGTGGTCGACTTAAGGATCTAATGAGATTAAGAACTTTGATTTAGGAAAGTATTTATCTAGTATAGCTAAATATATACAGAAGAATTTCTATATTGCTTTTACATAGTGAGGGATATATACTCGTGTTCTAGACTGCTTTACTTTGTTGAGAATTCTTTCGAGTGAGTGTGACTTTCATCTTTTCTTTCCAATTCCTTTCCTTGTCTATCTTCGCTTCATTTCCGAGAAGAAAAGGAGATTGCCAAGTTTACAACACATCTAAAATCAGAATATTATAAAAATATTCAAACCTCCTCTCAAACCACCCCAAAATCTACATAGCTAAACATTCCACGAGAAATATCATATGGTATAGAAGAGAACAGGACAGTACGGAAAATACCAAAAACAACTCGATCACATTTAGGAAGAAGTAAACTTTTACATTACAACTTTTCCCCTTAACTTCAATCAATTACCTAGACATATATAAGCATATAAGTGTATCGTTTTCGATGTTCGGCCTAATATTAGCTAATAGCTATAAATAGATAGACTGAATGAATAGTAGATTGAGAATTTCGTATTACTGATGTTGAGTTGAATGATCTTTATTGTGAATACTCGTGGATCTGTATGCTAGTTGTTCATTGTCAATTATGAGTTCTCTAGACTGTAGTTGATATATGAGTATGTATATCTAAATAGTTCAAGTTCGATTCGCTTGAAAACTGGATGTCATAACTTCGTAAGCGATAATAAATCAACACTACTATACTATGCTAAGAAATTAGAATACTCGATACCGCAATCACAGAAGTACATGCATCTATATCATGAATATCCCAATATATGAGCTGAAGTTATTATCTAGAAGCCCAGGTTAAAAAGAACGCATTCATCCTTCTCTCGACTTAATATCAATCACAATGAAAAAATCAAAAAAATCGAGCTACATACTTGTCTTGAAAATGTTGATGAACTGATGTTCTAGTCTTATCTATTTGTTTGTGTGATTTGATTTGATATTGTAGGTGATAATGATAATGTAGTGAGTACTATTGATGTTTATTCAGATTATTTTCAAGAGAATGGATGGTTTGGGAGTCTTGGATTGGATTCATGATTTGTGGGATTTTTGTTCTGGAGACTCTAGAGATGGTGAAGGGGTTGGATTTGAATTTGAGTTGTGGATTTAGATTATATGGGTGTAGTATTGCTGCTGTAGTTGAATTGTAGAATGGATTGGATGGGATATAAAGGGTACCTATGCTTTCGAAACTAGTGTATAAGAGGTAGGCATCGAGCACTGGAGAAAAATCGTGAAAACACCTAGTGAGAGTTTGAGATGAATCCTCAGCAATAAAATAATAACAATAAAATAGAACTAAATCCACACCTCCTTGTCATCCTCCTTCCTTCATATTATCCACCACCCATCTAATCTATACCCTAGTATTCATCGAGAATAAATAACCCCAAGATATCTCCAAGCTCATCTCTAAGTCTTCTTGAGAACCTCGTTGCAAACCCTCCCTGTTCTGAATACAGATAATCCCTTCTCCGTCACCATCTCCTTCTCCTCCAACCTCCCAACCTTCTAAATATTCATCCATCTCTAGCCCTCAGTACTCAGCACCTTCCCTCACTAGCCAATCTCTCTCTCCAACAAAAACAAGATACATAAAAAGATCAAACAGCATGATGTCTGATTTCAAAAATACAAGTCAAAAGCCTTTACTCGCTATTTCTAAAAGTATACATATCAAACTCAATAGAATGTATAACGAATGCGATTCTCTATCCCCTAGATCGCCAGCTACGGCCGGGTTCGCTTATAATGTCTTATCAGTTAATCAAAGTGTTATAATCTAAAAGGTTTTAATATAATAAATTGTATTTCTTTTGAAAATGAAATATAATAATATTTAAAAATGTTAAGAAATCTTTTTGTATAAATAAAATTTATAAATTTATAATAAACCTTTTAATAATCTTTAATAAAAAATTCAAACTAAATAACTTTTATATTTAATGTAATTTATGAAGTTATTAATATTCTTGGTTATGTACGGATTACATTTCCCGGCTGTAACTGACGGTTTAGGGGATAGATGAGATTGAGTATTTATATACTCATTCTCCTTCAAATACCATCCTATCTCTGATATACCATCCCTCAATACTATCTCAATCCATCCAAGAACCACATCACACCATATCATACTAATTGTGAAAATCAAAAAATCCCCAAAGGATTCCTCCTCTCTCCCCTCCTTTCCCTTTCCCCTTTCCCCCCTCCATTCTCCTCTCTAAAACCCCTAAACTAATCCATTCATCTGAATACCTCTCCAAAGCATCCTACCCTAACCCTCCCACCCATCTATCCATCCCTACAAACCCTCTTCCCTCCAAACCCTATCTATTAAACCCCCCTCCCCTGCCCACACACAAGCCAAAATCTACCTACGTACACTCTTCCAACTTCTAACTTCCAACTTTCAAATTTTCATTTTTGATAAAAAATAGTAACCTTAAGCAAGAAGTAACTTGATTACAAATTCTCCCAATACTCAATACCAACCACCTTCTCTACTCTCCCGTCTCCTCTGCGCTCCGTCCCAATATCCAAACCCACAAATATCTTTCCCTCTCCCTTCGCCCCGACAAAGCGCCACAACCTTCCTCTCCGCGAGAAAAGATCGCAAGCCCTCATGATCCATCCCGTATTAACTTTACAACAACAACTACATCTAATCAACCCTTTAATTCTTTATTTCATATTTAAATTTACTTATTCAATATCGAAATTCTTCTGCTCATAGTCAGTACTAGGGACAGAAACACAACTTATCATCTATTACTTTCATATATAATCATCTAATACTTTTCACCTTTCACCTCTCATCTCTCATATTAATAATTCATTTATAAAAGAGAGGACTC